CCATAAAACTGTGTCCTGTTTTTGGGGCTGTTAATTGGGGGTAAACGTTTGGATAATTTAAAACTATTTTAGCTACACCATCAATGCCTCCCCCCCCCCCCCCCCCCCCCCCCCCCCCCCAGTATCATAATGATGTGTAAGTGTGTTGACTGTGACTCTCAACAGTTAACTAAATTAGTTGCTAGATTTACTAGTGGAATATTAGCTTTTTCTTCGATACAAATTCGTTCATCAGTCAATATGTCGTTCCTTAAGTAGATCGGGTAGTGACGGTCTTGTTTTTCTTATTTACAATAATACAATAATATAACTGTAATCAGTCGCTGGGGCGGCAAAGTTATGTCTTTCTCAAAAATAGGGGCCAAATTGCGGGGAGTCAAAAACATGTGATTATAGCTCCACCTTCAATTTGTGCACAGTCTACACCTATCATGATCCTTGTATCACCAGAACTGCTTCTCAACCAATGTATACACATTTAACTAAACTAGTAGCAGCAGTACAGTTACACTTAGTCATACAGTTACACTTAGTCTCAATATTGAGTTTACTGTTCATATTTATTTGTGTTGCAAAATTTTATTATTAATGTTAGACCCCTTTGTTTTTAGTTTTGACTTTTGGATCCCGCACTTGACGATATGATAATATCATGGATTAATATTCAGAGTGTAATTACGAGTTACCTCTTCTAAGCGTGGGACAATGGCGCTTGTTGCAGGATGGAATTCGGGTTGACGAATTAGTCCGTTACTTTATTAATCGCGGCTTTTGGATGATAAAACTGGTAGTTTACTCAGTCTTATATTTTCTGTGAATCTTAATTTTGGGTTCTTTATATACCTTAAGAACGACAAATTTAGTCGACAAATTTAGTCTTATCTACCATTAATTTATTCAAAATTTTGACTAAAATTGTTGTAAACAACATTTTTTTTATTGAGACAACATTTTTCGGCGACTAATTTAAAAGCAGACCAAAATTTCAGTAGAGCATATAATTATATGACATGAATATTATTTAGCTTACATTGTTTATAATTAATATAATGACATCACCGTTCCTACTTCTGAACTACTTTGACTATTACACGTGTAATCTACTGCTTTTATGCTTTGAGCTTTCACATTCTCTTACTTCCTTTTCCCATCAGGCAGTATCTGCATCTAGTTTAACTCATTACAAAATCATTTAATCAACATGCCTGACGTTAAACCTTAAAGTATGACTAAAGTGAGAAATCGGGGGGGGGGGGGGGGGGGGGGGATTGGGGGGGGGGGGGGGGGGGAACTAGCTAACTAATGAAAAAATCAAATAAATGGAACGGAAAATGGTCTCGAAAAGTCAAAAAATGTGACTAAAACTGTTGTAGTAGACTAAAAATTTGCGAAATTTGTGACTAAAATTATGGTAACCAAAATTGTTGTAACCAAATTTATTGTGAATTTATTGGCCTTAAGATAGTTCTTTTAACACTACTGAGTATAAGTTTCACCTAATAGCAGTGAAATAAACACCATTCACTATTATCATTCTTAAGCAATAGTTGGTTAGTGATAGTGTGTTATGCTTTGCACTTTGCCCCTGTTTTTGAACCCGTGCCCAATGATTGAAGAGTACACTGTGGAGTATAGAAAGGAGCAGGTACATTTACTATAGGGGAAAGTGGGACAGGGCGGAATGGAACTCTACAAATTGGTCGGTTCTTTTATTGATATTATTGGAATCGTGTTTCAGTTTAGAGGCTAAGGACCCGGGATGTTTCGCTATTTCAGGTCCGTTCACTTTAATACGAAAACATTCTGAGAGAGAACAAAATGTATATTCTTCATCCGACTTAAAATCTCCGCAACTTCAATTTAATCACCCAGCGGTGATTCTCAAAGCCTCTGCTGCTTTCTATTCATCTAGGACTATAATTGTTAGGTATACGGGTGGTAGAGCGCACTGCGCAATGCTATGGTGACCTTGTGGGTGTAGACTGTACACCACCACATTCAGTCTGACAGTGGCTATTGTCTTTCCAAACATTGAACGTTATTGAATATTGTGCTAATTTTGTTGCTATCTTCATAGGCTTGTTATTATTTCCCAGGTTATAGCGTATAGTGTAAGTGTATGGAATAAAGATAGTGTCAACTTGAGGTATCTGGCTAGGAATGCTGCTACCGGATTATGCTCATATCCTTATTCATTTCAGCTTGATAGTCTATTTTCTGAAATGAGTTATTTATAAGATTAACTATACGAGTAATGTTCACGCAGATATAGTTAAGTCTTCAATCGTGATGCATCAATCATTCAAAACTGCTTTATTCATATTTTCTCTGATATATATAGTGGTTTTCGTTCACAAGCATTACAATTCCGTTTTAAAATAATGTGACATGATATGTATAGTAGTTGCTTTAGAGCAAGATTAAATTGTTGCTCTAATCTCTATCATTTAATTTTATAGCTGCTTAGAGATGCTTCATCGTTATAATAAGCTTAAACTTTCAGATCCAATGATTAATTTCATCAATAACACGTTTATTGTTACAATTTATAATATCTAATTGTCAATTAATTACATCTTGACATATATGCCCAATTGACGTTATACAACATACGTGATGTCCCTGTAGTCTGCGTACTTGAGAAGTTAACCACAATCTCCCCACTTCCGACTTGAGAGTACTAAAAGATATACTTCGATCAGGAGAACAAAATCAACTATTAACTTGATAATGGCATCATTAACTTGATAATGACATCATAATTATAGTCAAGACTCCTAGCTGGCCGGCTTGTATCAGCAAATGTTTGAAGTGCTTTTAAGTTTTATTATAACAGTCTCGTGTGGTTAGATCATTTGCTTAGCTTGTGTAAATTCACATATAACCTGATAATGCGAATACTTAGTTATTGTTTAGCCCTTTTTTGTTAGCCCCTTGCTTCTTCTCGAAATTGATATCGTTCAACCTGTTTTATTCCTGCTTAATCGTCATTTTGACCACATTCTACAGCTGTGACAATATTACTGTGACAATATTACTGTGACAATATTACTGTGACAATATTACTGTGACAATATTACTGTGACAATATTACTGTGACAATATTACTGTGACAATATTACTGTGACAATATTATTGTAACAATATTACTGTGACAATATTACTGTGACAATACAACTGCAACAATATTATTGCCTTTCAAAGTTACTTGACAGAACAAGAACAAATTTACCCATTATCATAAATTATAAGTCCTGTCTAATGACTAATGAGTCATAATGACCCATACGGTACATTGTACGACTATCCTGTCCTGTATTCGTGTTCAATATTTATTTTTTAAAGGCTCTAACTCTGCCTTGTGAACAGAACAAAGCTAGAGAGAGAACCCTTCTCTGATACATCTAATTGTTAACCAGCACGGTGTGTATATATATACTGTTACCTAGACGACGGATTCTTGGCTACATCTTTACTACTGTTTACTCGCCAATAAATGAGAAGAAAGCATGTATTTTTAAGTTTGGTTGCTTAGCATCCTCGATATTATGCACTAAGCAGAGGGATGGAGTCTATTGACATTGTCCGATAACCATTATAGCTTGATCTCTTCTTTGTTTACCATGTTATGAAACATAATTGTGTATCATAGTTTATGTGACCGATTGTTTTCAGTTATGTTTCATATACTATGCGGTTGATTTGTGTTATGTCCTATATGAAAGGATAGTTATTATTGATAGACGCTCTGCTAAAATCATTAAATTACAACCTAACTGATAGTCTCGTTATTACATTATTACATAGCTTTCTAATGTTGATACTTTATCATTAGATACTACATACAAAAAAAACAATTGAATATCGTCCAAGGACTCCTTCAAACTTCAAATTATAGTTCAACATCTTAAATGGATACATTATCATAGAGATACGTTATCGTGATGGACTGACGGACCATAACCCCCATCTCCTTATTTGGGCATCACGTGGTTATCTGGGTTATTGTCTAATTACACGCCCGCCAACTTTATTACCCCAACTCTTTTTTTGATCTAAGGACCCCATGTACCTTTTACATTGTTAACATTCCAGCTGAACAAGAGTTGCTCTTTGTTACATCTAATTGTATTCATATGTTGGAGTAGACAAGGAGTCGCGTCTTTGTTTTTTATTTTACATGAGGTAAAATATATAATAGGATGTACTTTAACTTAGTGCTAGTAACTAGAGGTTGTATGTTTTTACGTTGCCGCCCCGCCTGAAATGATTTATCATCCAGCTTTATTTTGTCAGAATTTTTGATATTTCAAGTTTTAAATCTTTCATCCCCTTACATCTTCATCTGCAAAAACCGAAGTTGATCTGCAAATTCAGAAACCCACGACAACTTAAAGTTAAGTGCTGACTCACTGATCAAATATGTTGCAAAATTCTAATCGCTTGTACTCTAGCTATTAATAAGTATTATCGTATACACACAGCACGGAAAGCTTGTCTTTTCCAATGTGATTGTCTGACTATAAGTCCGCATGTAGCAGCGTCGGTTATAGTCATTGCTACACTCCACAACTCACACACTCGCGAAACTATTGAATTGTTGCCAATTTACCGTCAATTCACTGGGGTTTTACTGGGGTTTTACTCGGGTTTTACTGAGGTTTTACTGGGGTTTTACTAGGGTTTTACTGGGGTTTTACTGGGGTTTCACTGGGGTTTTACTGGGGTTTTATTTTTAACCAGTTCGCGGTTATCGCACTCATAATATACAATATACATATTGTGTAATAGAGGTATTTGCTTTGTGTCAAGTTCACCGTTACTAACTTGTGGTTGAGTAGCATAGTCGAGAGTTACAAGAGTTAACCTTGATTGTTGTACTCAGCAAGAAGAACCTTGTACTCCGCAATAATATTTATTCGTTGCCCGTTTATCATTTTGTTGATTGATATTTATTTAGTTACTTGAAATGATCAGACTTTTTACCCGGTAACATTCTGTCATGCCAGTTTAAGACAAGGAAAGTAAGAGAAAGTGAAAGAGAAAGTGACCAAGTAAGCGAGTTGGAGTTTCTTTCATGATACTGAGGAGTTTCTTTCAACTGCTTGCTCTTGTCACGGTACGTGTTTTAGATTATTTCAATCATGGGTTTGGGGTTGGGGGATTGCAACTTTTGATATACAACTACAAAGCATGGACGTACATAAAACTAAACTTGTTCGACAAATTTTAATTTTTTGGGAATTTTACATCACTATCCTCTCACCATAACCATGATATTGATAATAATGAACGCTTTTTCTCAGGTTATTGGAGCAAATTTAGACGGTTTTGCAGATGCTGACTCGTCAGGACAAGCAGCAACCTGTGAACAAGGGTCCGTTATACTTACAGATGGCACGGGTAAGTTGAATTAGCCGATATTTTGTCCCTGTTTATTCACCAAAATGTAATTGAAATATACGAGATTGTTTGGTTACTCGTTGCAGTCATAAGTGTAATTCAATATTTCTATAACTTTACTAACCAGCTTAATTAACTAAACTGTGTGTTATCAGGTTGTCAAGGTTGTCCCGCCGGTACCAAAGCTAAGTCTGATCAAACAGGTTGTGAAACGTGTCCTCTAGACTCATACAGGTGAGTTCACTGCCCTACTGGTGGGGAGGTATTAGGTAAACCATGTTCTGACACGTGACAGTGTTTAACCCCAATAACGACCCTGTCAATCGAATTGTTAAGGTAGTTTGAAAGTTACGAACAGTGTGCTTAACATTTCATATTCTGACACTTACTTTCAGCTTGGCGGAGGCTACAGCGTGTATAGAATGTGCTAGCCCGTTAGGAACTGTAAGTGATGGAAGCACCAAGGCTGAGGATTGCGTCAGTAAGTTTAACTTCTAATATTTAATCTACCTTAAGCTGCAGTCACTCCAGTTATTTTTAATGGTTGGTATGGCCTGCTTAGGTTTGGTTTATCGGTTCTACAGCGACATGAACGCTTTGGCGTCGTTGGAATTGTGATTTAATATAATATCATAGTCTAAACGATTTGAGGTTACCAATGAGTTCATGTTCAATTGTAGGAATTGAAATATTTCGTTACAGGCAGTAAGTTACAGGCTGCATCGTAAGGAATGATTGAGATAATGATTTGAACAGCCCATTTTAATTTTTTATTATTTACCGTGGCACACAGAACCGTGCACCTGCTACTTCCAGATAATTTGAAAATATAAATAAATAAACTATCATATCCGGACGATTTTGATTCCCCGAAAATAATCGCACGTTCTTTTTGGAACTGTGGTGCGATTGAGATTTCTCTTTTGAATTTGATTCTTAAATTGCCCTATCTGTGTCACTGATTCGTTAATTTGGGATATCATATCAGTACAGTATAATCATCATGTACTATGTAGAGTTTTTCATTCAGAACCAAAGATTATTCAAAAGAATCATAGGTAACTAAAACTGCCGTTCGACTGTCATGTAAACTTGATTAGTGCACTTGCTACTAATTTTTTTTGGTTTGGTAATTTGGTCGTAAATTATCAAACTAAAGAAATTATACCACGTTGCATAATGGACATTGGACATCGATAAAATATTCTTCATATAACGAAATTAACCTTTTTAGAGGTGTGTACGGTCCCGAGCGTGACGAATACGATAACCGGAACGACACCTTCTGGTACCAGGTTGGCAACTGGCGAGGATTCCACCATCGTGTGTGATAGTGGCTACCAGTACGGAGATCAGGAAACACAAATTATAAAATGTGACGTTTCCCTCGAGAACAACGGGTACCCTGCCGGTTGTAGAAGTAAGCGTGATATCTGTTTTATCCATTATTTTGGAAGTATTATATATTTGTTTAAATTTATAATTATATATTTGTTAAAATGATCATGAGATGCCCAATGCTCCGGTTTTAGAATAAGGCAGAAATGAACCATCTTATCGATTATCAATAAAAACTGTGAGTATGCATGCTTTGGTTGTTATTCAAATACTTGTCAAAAATTTTTTTATAAGTTATTGAAAAAATTATTTTTTCAGAAATAACGCTGAAATTACCGGGTAATCCCTCCTTAAAAATGGGTAGCGAAGCGTCACTTATATGTATCGTCGAAAATGAGTCGGATAACTCAGATATAACTTGGTTCAAGGGCGACTCCCAACTCCTTAGTTCAGATGACAACTACGGATTTGATATCGGTACAGATGCACTAACTTCTATTTTGACTATCAAAGTGCTGGATGATACTCACACTGCATCCTACTCATGTAAATTGAACTATGCATCTCCACTTCTCAGTGAACAGTCCATAACTGGTGACCTCACTGTCCTAGGTCAGGATAAGTTTTATTAAATGATACCTTTTTAAATTAAAAAATTATTTAGTTTTAAAATATTTTTGTTTGGAACTAACCCGATAATATTACCTCAAGATTTTAAGCGAAGATACCATGCTACATTTTCAGTACTTTTAATAGAAGAATTAAAAGTACAAAAACAAGTAAACGAATACTTATATTCTAGTTTATTACTTATTCTAGCATCATTCTAACCAAAAATAACATTGTGCACGATTATCCTAGTTCGATGATCCATGGCCATCTTACGAAAACAAATTTGTCTATTTCAAATTATCTTGGTGTCTGGTAGAACTGCATCAAGGATCTGGAATATTAAATTAAAGGATTATTCTGTTGGAAATGCTCGATCACTACTAATAGGATCAATATGGAAATGAAGCGTGTAAATTTACGAACTTTCAATTTGACTTATTAACAATTAATAATTAATATAATTGATGTGGATTCTCGTGGGGAGGTGAGGTACATTTGTTTACTTTAACATGGAGGTTCTTCTCAGCAGGAGACAGAGGTGATGCACATTTGTTTACTTTTAAGGTGGAGGTTCTGCTCAGCAGGAGAAAGAGGTGATGCACATTTCGTATTATGGAACGCTTGTAACGCTTATAACTCCTTCTTGTTACCCCCCTTTGAAGGTCCCGAATTATTTTATGAACGAAAGCTTAAAAATAACCGAGAAATCGACCTTGTTATCAACTCATTTTGATGACTGTTTCTGACCTAAAATTGAACGTGAAATCGATTTGTTAAGGAGACGATCTCCTTGTTCTTGTGTTGCAGGATCAAAATGTTCTTCGTTTGAGTAAAACATGAATTTTGAGGGATAAGGAAGTGTTGTTGGGTTGTAAAACCAACTTAAATCGATTTCTAGTGCAATGTTAGGTGAGGAACAGACACCAAAATGAGTTGCATACCTGATGTGTGTTTTCTTACTCTGCTCTTCGCTCAAGCTGCAAAGCTGCAATAAACATATTGCAATAAACATTTCTCTCTGAAAATTGTGTTAGTACCTGTTCGATCAGTTAAGGTGATGATTGCCTCAATCTTTCAGGTTTCAGCTTTACCGCCTAGGCCCTAGGTCATGAGTAGAACCTAAGGATCAAAATATATGTTGCTTGTTGCTCGTATTAAGTATAAAACATCAATTTTGAGGGATAAGGAAGTGTTTATAGGTTCTGAAACCTAGTTAAATCGATTTTACGTGCAATCTTAGGTCAGAAACAGTCATCAAAATGAGTTGATAACGAAGTCGATTTCTCGGTTATTTTTAAGCTTTCGTTCAGAAAATAATTCGGGAACTTCAAAGGGGGGGTAACAAGAAGGAGTTATAAGCGTTACAAGCGTTCCATAATACGAAATGTGCATCACCTCTTTCTCCTGCTGAGCAGAACCTCCACCTTAAAAGTAAACAAATGTGCATCACCTCTGTCTCCTGCTGAGAAGAACCTCCATGTTAAAGTAAACAAATGTACCTCACCTCCCCACGAGAATCCACATCTATAACTCATCGTTTTATTTCCTCTTTACCTACAAAACATATATTTTTCAGACATTCAGATTTTTGTTTCTGACGTCGAGGTCGATCCTGCTGACGCCAAAACCCTAATTGTAGCTGGGGAAAGCCTTTCTCTCATGTGCCAAATGAAGGCTGATAGCAAATATGTGGACAGAGAGATAGAATGGTTTTATGATGGTGACGAAACAGTATGTAAAATTCTAAATTATCTTTTCGTAGGAAGACAGAAGGTTAATTACAAATTTTCTCGAGGAACACTAAATGAATACGATCAAGAATAACATAAATGAAAACACTTCAGCCAACAGGCCTATTGGATGGTGAAACGTCGCCGTACAAACACAAAACTATGACCAAAACTGCTGAACTGACAGACACGGCAGATTATACTTGTACAGGTAGGAAAGGGGATAATGGTAGCGGACCACCTCCAAAACCCTGACATTCCTTTTCATACCAGGCTCTTTTTCAATTATTGTTAAAGAAATGTTCATTCAAGCGCATATCAATGTTGATGGCCAATGGGATAATGGTTGGAATCTTCTGCTCAATCCAACAGTCCCTAACGGCCATCATGGGATTGGTTTAACAAAATATGTTCCTAATAAATGGAGGCTTTTACTGAATTATCACCGGAAGTAACTAACGATCGATTTCTCTAATCATCCAACACTTAGGCACGTACGGTAACGATGGAGCACCATTACAGCCCTTGCCTATAACTAAAGAGGTAAAGGTGTACGTGCTGGGATACAGTGAACAACCGGAGAACACGTTTAGTGAAGTCGGAGTGGCCCTCGCCCTCAGCTGTACTGCACAGGGAGATGCTTCCACCACAATCACGTGGTATGTGTTGTTAAAATAAATCCAGTTAAAATAGAGTCAGTTAAAATAGATTCAGTTAAAATAGATTCAGTTAAAATAGATTCAGTTAAAATAGATTCAGTTACAATAGATTCAGTTGAAATGAATTCAGTTTTTTCTTTCTTTAATTTGTTGTTTCCTTAGTTGTATAACTTTTTCACTCTTTTGCTGCCTAAAATGTACAGCACACTCACCTCGAAAATGTTTACAAATTATCTGATTGATTACATCAATACATTTGAAGTCAATTAAAATAGGTTTATTGTTTCACCAAATTGTACATACCAAAAAATCAATTTGGATAGCTGGATCACGTGGAATGTTTCCAGAATCTTGCACTGTCACCTTTGTTCCATCAACTATGGAGACTGGAGATGGCTATGCGATTTACTAAATTAGATAAGTAAGATTATGTAGACAGCTGCGAAGTCAACCACCTTTATAACAGGACTAAAACCGTTGAGGGGGTTGAATCAAACCCAACTCCTGAAACTCCAACATTCCCTACATCATTGGAAACCTCGAGTGAACTTAGAATTAGCAGTGCTCAACTAAGCGACTCAGGATCTTATAAGTGCAGTGCCACCTTCGGGGCAACAACTGTGGAAAGTACTGTCGCTACAGTCACCGTTCTTGGTAGGTACCAGTTCTCTGATCGGTTTAGGCTTCTTAAGAGCCCAACTGTTATGTCCAGTATTTTACCTTTTTAGTTTTCACTGATAATTGGTAATTGCTAACTGCTAAAATACAAATTTGATGAATTACTGGATTTACAAAATTTTATTTTTATTCCATGACGGTTAATATAATCAGCGTGCCGAAAAGCTGAAGTTCAAAATCCTCAAAAGTTAATTTGCATCTCTGAAAATACTCTCCCTATTCCCAGACATCGGTATCAGCGAGGACCCAGTAAAGATAGGGTTCCTAGCAGGAGAGGACGCTAGTTTGTCGTGCAAGGTAAAGAACCCGACGGATAACCCGGCCACTGTTTCCTGGATACTGGCGACAGCAAATGGAGATGAAGTGGTTGAAGATCAGTACATCCAGTGGGCTAACGAGAGCCCTGTCGGAACCTCCACTCTGGTATACGACAGGTTAGAACATGATGATATATTTTTGTATGTTATTTTCTTTTGTTTGGGTTTTAACCATTCAGAATAGTCAATTAAAGCCAATTCACGTGACACAAGAAACAAAAAATCGATTGAAGGCCAAGGTATGATAAAATTTGGACAGGTGATGCAAGTGGATGGAAATTTAGCGTCCGCCGACAGTCGAACAAACGGGCGCAATTCTTGTTGTATGTTATTTTCTTTTGTTTTAATGATCATCAGATGAAAGTTTTTCGCCGAAACAATAACATCAAACTGATCCGATATGCGTGTTTCAGTGCCACCCATGATAATGCTGGTGTTTACAAGTGTAAAGCAGACTACACTGTAGATGGTAAAACATACTCTCGGGAAAGCACACCTGTTGATCTCTTTATTAGAGGTAGGACAGTTATTCCTGGCAACTTGCCACATTCCTGGCCTGTTTCACTTCAATTTCTATTTTCCTGATCATGTTATTATAGTTTATAAAATTATGTCAATAAAATTTTGTGTGAAGCTTCATTTTTTAGTTTAAGGCCTTTTCTATTTTTTATTGTTGATAGTATGAACTATGAATCAATTCCTATTCAATAATCTCTACTATAATTCAGAGAATTATTTCTGATGTTGTTGTCTGTACGACCGCCCACGTGCAAATTCGGCAAAAAGCAAAAGGTTGCAAAGGAACCATGGTAACGGTTTCGTTACACGCACGTGCACGTGCAAAGATTGTTAAAACGGCATTTTTATCGGTTTTGTTGATATTATGTTGTGTTTAATGCGAGCAACATTTTAATCGGCTGTATGTTCGGTTGTGTAGGATATTTTGACGCGATTTAAACTCACTAACAAAAAATACTATTAGCTTCCTCCCTGTGACCACGGGTTTTCTAGTATTCAATAATATCATAAGTTCGAAATAAGATAAATCAAACACATGATTGTCATAACCTGAAACCCACAACTCAAATCTTCAGAGCTCCAACAAAAACTGGACGAGATCGCTCTGGTGAAACTGCCAGCCGATACTACCAAGGTATTTACCTGCACTTACAAGGGAGATGACGGTATTGAGAACATCAAATGGAATTTAAACGGAGATGGGTACGACGCGACATTTCATACCGAGTGGTCAGAAGTTGCGGTAAGGAATTCATAAAAAATGTCGGTTATGTAATGAATTTGTGTGACAGTTAAATCATTTATTAGTATCATTCGGGGGGAAACAAATGATGTAATTCCGTTATCTACAGGGATCTTACCTTGCCGATGGCACATGGGAGAGCACGTTAACAGTAACCAGTCTCACGAAAACCAGCGGAAAGCTAGTAAAATGTATCGTGGACTTCAAGGCAGACTCTTACAACAATGCATTGTCCTCCGAAAGCAACTTTGTTGTCCGCTGTAAGATGTTGTTAAAATGTTTCCTCCATTTTCTTTATCGACTCACTTCATTGTCCTCAGGCCATTTTTTACAATATTTCTCCTAACTGATTATTTTCAGCAATCTCTGAGGCGCCCGATGCGCAAACAATTTCTGATCAGGCCTCAGTGGATATCAGCTGTATTTACGCCGGTACCAACGACCCGGATACCGTTCAGTGGAGAGTTGACGGTTCAGTGAAGACATCAGCCGATACTGCTGATACCGGTTTTACTGTCACCACAGGGGTGTTCCATGGTTCTACAAATAACGAAAGGTTTTAAATACATTTTTTTACTTTTTGGACTATTTATATTTGCTGTTTATGTATCCATGTTTTATGTTCTTCCCTGACAACCAATACCAGGTAAAATGTTTAAGTTTTTTTTCTCACAAAAAAAACCTCAGAAAAACCACCTTGACAATAACCGGACGAGAATACACGGACGCAGAAAAAATTATCAAGTGTGAGTTTATCTTCTCCACAAATCTCCCGCAAGAAACCATGGAATCTTCCACAACTCTACTCTTCCGAGGTATTTGTAGTATAATTTGGCCACAAAAGTTATGAGTAAAATGGCTTACAAAGAGGCGGGGGTCTAATCCCGAAACTGCTACATAAACCGGAATTTCTTCGAGTATAAAATATAAATATGTCTCGTAAGGTATGTAGAAAAACAGAATCCATATGTCAAAGTGTCCCATCGCGTACAGAATATTTTATTTAATATTTGATTGACTCGTGTTTTATAATTATCTTTATATAATAAAGATACTATATTCGAGTAAACATTGGCTGGCTAACAAACCAGTCCTTCAATAATTGATAAATTTAAAAAAATACAATAAGATGCATCATAAAATCGGTATCGCCTATATTCCTGCTTCTGTTGTTCGATTCAATTCATATCTCCTAGGAATTATTACGCCACTGGATGCGAACTACTACTCGATTGGGACGGATTCTGTTTCCTTTACTTGTGAACTAGGAGTAGGAGCTGATGGGGATGTCCCTGCTTATACTGAGTGGTAAGTCTGCATTCCTTTGTTGCTGATATTATGCTAGTTAGGTCTTTCAATTTTTACTTATTTACAACTTTACTTTGGCTGTGGAATGTATCTGGACTGTATCCTACAAATCATCAAATCAGTGTTCAGTATACATCACAATTTCAGGTTCCTCAACTACAATGAAGCAGATAGAACGCAAAACGAGGCACTAAAAAACGAGGGTGACTACGCCATAGTAACTGACTCTCAGATCAATAGCGGCAAAATGGAAACTACTCTGACTATCTCTAGTGCCAATATCGCGGTCGCCCTTGCTGGGAAATACACGTGTGAATTCTCATATGACAACGGAGATTTCTATAAGTCTGAAGGAAACCTTGTTGTACGGCTGGTCACGATAGTACCTTCCGATGCCCAAATCTACAGCTACCGAAATGACGGGGTACAATTGTCATGTACACTTGAGTCGAGCGACATTACTACCGGTATAACATGGTCTGGGCCAACAGGGTTTGATCCGTCCGGTTTAACCAGCAAAGATCCAAACAATGTTCACACTTACATTCTGACCCTTCCAACCGATGCTGCTGCAGCCCAGTACAGCTGCGAATTTGCTTTCACTGATGGACCTACTTTCAAGCCGGTTGGCACCTTTCTCGATGTTAACTTGAACCTGATCGAGATGACGAACCCGACCAAGATGTACAGTACCTATGGGGTTGGTGTTACCGTTACTTTCTCCTGTTCGGCTGGGTCTCGCTCCGAGATGAGTGACCTTAACTTCTACGACGGAACCCAGGAAGTTACAGCAACTAGGAGGAGCTATGAGAACGGCAAGACGAATGCTGAGTACGATTACGTGGTTGATACTAAAGATAAGGATGCGGAGTTTAAATGCTACAAAAGTGCAGATGAAACTTCCGATTCTACTACTCTTGATGTGATGACCTGGACACAAGAGCTTGCAGAGTCAACTGAAGGTTCTGCTGGAGATAGTGTAGTCTTGCTTTGTAAGGCAGAGTGGAACACAGTCGACCAGAACAAACCAGCCTTCACGTGGTTAAAGGGAGCTTCAGCCGCTGAGGAGACCAAATCAGACACAGAAGACACGTCAGGAAAAACGTGGGTTCAAAGTGAGCTGACGATCACTCTTGCCCCTGACATGGACGGCAGCGAGTACACTTGTACTGCTACATATACCGGACTTACAGCCGGCCTGACACTTACCAGTACAACCGACATCAAAGTCGCCAGTAAGTAAAATATTTATTTTAAATTACATTATTTTAAATAAGTCATAACTGCCGATTAATGAGAACAGAAATTGCATGTCATATTATATGCTATTTTACCCGTACCTTTTTTGATTTTTATAAGTTTTGAAGTGATTATATTTTTTAAATGTAACTTATTGATCTCATATGCTCCTTATTCCAGGTATCGAGATTACTCCAGCGAAGTACGCCATCGTACCGACCGGAGAATCAGCGATGTTCACCTGTGTTGTGATAGCGAAGGACGGAGTCAACCTGAAGTGGAGAAAACATGCTGACGACTACACTGAGAACGACAAGAAATACGTTGATCTGACGACCTCAGCTCAGCAGGATAACTACGATCCAGACAACAATTCAAGGAAATCCACTTTGACGTTGTCATCCTTGACAAATGCTGACAGTACTGACACTATTGAGTGTTACGAAGAAAATACTCCCGCTCTCACTGCAACCATGGAACTCAATGTTGTCGGTAAGATCACCAAACCTATAATCGTGTGTTCCTCGTTTATGTTCCTGCTACTAAGCATGCTGCGTATAAGTTGTTTGGAAAAACTCCTGTCAGATATTACTTTTACAACGCTACTTTTAGATTGTAGGTATAGCAACTTCACTCTGACTCATGTAAATCATGACTCATCAGTACCGTTACATATGCATAAATAATAAATATACTTAATTATCTTCAATTCAGAGTTCGCCGACCTCGTTTCAAAGGGTTTGGTGGTAGGGGAAGAGGTTATTTTCACCTGTACTGTTTCAACCTTTACTAACGCTGCTCTAGTCATCGAATGGTTCCAAAAATCCAGTAGTGGTTCAGATACTTCCAAAGGAGCAGGTAAAAATTCTTTTATCAATATTATAAAAAACCATTTATCTGTCGAATGCAATATTTATATAATGGTTATAACCATTAAATAAATGGTTATAATCATTTATTTAAAATTGTTTGATCTTCCATGAAATGTCGGCCATCTGATTTTTCTATTCCTCCCTTCAGGAGCACAAACTGGAAATGAGTACACGTACACTATTGACGCGGTTGCTCAGATTGACAATGGTGTTTACTATTGCCTAGCTACATACACTCAACCACTCAACCTTGGAGATGCAGTCTTCAAGTCAGAAGAAGTTAACCTTCACGTTAGACGTAAGTTGTATTAGGATATTTAGGAGTCTGTCTCAAAGATGTCATCAGCAAACCCATCATGGGACCCAAATATTCTCATCAAGCTTTATCGTTCATAATTTTCATTTCAGAGATCAACCCAACACCAACCACACCTGTCTTTATCCACACTGGAGAGACAATAAGTTTGGACTGTACTCTGAGCATTATAGCGAAATCAGCTGGAACATCTGACATTAAATGGTACAAGGACGGAGTAGAGGTTGTGCAACAAGTGGGCGTATTAGAAGTGGAAAACGGAATTTATGATGGTACAAATGAGCTTCAGAAGTCAACGTACACTGACACTGATGTTGATAAAGATGATGGAGGTATTTACAAATGCGAATTCACATTCGCTGTCGGAGAAAAGATTTCTTTCGAGACTACCGTCCACGTTCATCGTAAGTACCGTATTGAAGTAGAATTAGGTACCGTAGAAGTACCGTATTGAAAAAAAGGGATAAGATTTTGAATTGGCAGTTTTGTTAAAGTACCTATCTAAATCTGGGTGTGGTTTCTGTATTTTTTATGAGGTTTTTATCAAATCACGCCAACAACCTATAAATATAATCATCCAACATCATTTCAGTGCTCACTCCCCTGGACAGCGATTACATAAATCCTTCTGTTCTGAACTGTGATTTCCAGGGTTCTAACGAACCTACAATTTCATGGTGGAAGGTCACCCAAGCATCGGGACAATCCCAGCCAACAATGACAAAAATCGATCCTACCCAAAGTGAATTTTCTGCTTACACACTCGACCCTGGGTCCTGGGTCGCAAATGCTGTGTCCGCTAAACTGAACATCGATTTAGTTAAGGTAACAGACGCTACCTCGGTCACGTGTAAACTTGAGTTTACAGGATTGGACGACCCACTGGAGACTAATACGATGATCCACAAGCGAGGTTTGTCCCTGAAACTCTGTAGTAATACACACTCACATATGATACGCGAATAATGACATGAAATTTTGACTCGAAATGTTGACTAAACTTCCCAATTTAGAAGTTTTCACTTTTCCATCTCCCCAGAAATTTCTTCCATAAACGATAAAACCTATACAATGGGAGAGGAGGTCATCTTGGAATGTGTCCTCTTCTTCGGAGTATCTGGTACCGGTCCTGCCTCGGTCGAATGGAAAGGAATTGACGCCTCGATAACGGACGCCGAGAAGAAGATCGACGAGAATACCAACATAGACGGTACTCGTACCACTACACTAACCTTCCCTAGTACTGATAATGCCAAGTTTGATGGTACCTACACCTGCTCGTTTGTGTATGACGACTCGGAGAAATACGATGGTGAAATAGTGATAGTAACACGATGTGAGTTGCTCTTTTGTAATTTAAGATAAGGTTTCTAGTTGATAGATGAGTGTGTACCAGACAAGCAGATTGTGAAAAACCAATTATCCAATTTTATGTTTATTTCAATATATGATGTAACATGAAATAAATGGTCAAATCAAATCTCTATATTCCAACATTTCAGTGACAACCATAGTGCCCGACACCAAAGCTTACATCCACACGAACGACGGATTTTCTGTCACGTGCACATTCGCGGGTCAGGAGACACCAAGTGATGTAACATGGACCCTCGGAGACAAACCCCTGGTTACAGCCACGGACGACTACACTCTTGTGTACACGATTGGAGAAAAGAAGGCCGAGCTGACTAAGACCAACCCCAATTCGGCTGACGATGGAGTTTACACGTGCAAGTTCACGATGGAGGTTGCAGGAGATCCTCCATTTGCTTCCACTACCATCACTGTAGGATGTAAGTTATCGAAGATACCCCTGCTGATTTGCTGATATAAATTTCTATTTAAAAAGAAAAATATTGAGCGTAGTGTTTTCAAACTTTTACCATGGATAAGGAAGGTTTTGTGATTATCTTTATAAGTTTAACTCTAGTTATGAAAATAATCCCTCCAGTGCTGACCATGACGCAACCGGAGAATTACTTCGGAGCTGTAGGTGGAGCCCTATCTTTAGAGTGCACCATGAAAACTGATGTTCCCAATGCAAAGATGTACTGGTTCAAAGGTAAACTTTAACGTAACAATTTTTTAAAAAGTCGTCGATATGGTTTCTATTCATATTTTTGTGGTCAATGGTCATCCATATAAGAATCTAATCCGTAAACTGAATTCGATAAAGATGAAATTTTTCGGTTTTGTCAATAACCCAAAGTCAAAGTTAACGGTAAATAACTCAAAATCCATACACCATACTAACCCACATCCCACAAAGACAATAACACATCCCTCCTCAGATGGTGTTCTCAAACAGAACGTGGCTAGTCCCTCCCTGGTCGACGGTGTGTTGAAGTCGACTTACACCATCGCAGCACTAGTAGCTGCTGACCATGATGGGGCCTGGTCCTGCTCTTCTTCTGATGACGCTGATGTTTCTACCCACAAGGAGATCTCCTCCACATCTGTCACCCTCAAAACTCTTGGTGTGTAAATTACACTGTAGTAAGACTGATCCCCTCATCGAGTTACTTTATTGACCTACATGCTCGTTACGTTTTTATGATGATATCTTCACTAAGGCCATAAGCCTGTCACGTGCTCACATAACTGATGGCATTCCCAGATTTTGTCCTGCAACCACCCGCCAAGACCTTTGGAGCAGATGGTATGGATGTGAGGTTAACCTGCAAATCTAGCTACGGTCAACCGGGAGTTAACGTTGCTGTAGTGTGGTTGGTTAACGATGGTGGTGAACCTGATGTTAGCGGTGACAAGGTAATATTAACTGTAATGATAGGACTATAACAAGAGGTGAAATTAACAAAAATTGATAATTTCACTATCATATTTATTACTTCCCTCTCTCGACACAGACTGTGAAATGTGAAATGATCATGAAATCTGTTTTTATCGCTGTATGTAAGAGCCTCACAGGAAATTACCCAGTTTTTCAACGGGGCAACTAACGCTGCAGACGTGTACGTGAGCTCCTTGAGTATATCCTTTACTGACGATATGCTGGAGAAGAGCTACTCTTGTAAGTTTACTTTCTCCGGAGATGGAGTGGGAACAGACAACTCCATCACTTCTTCTGCAACTACCGTCACTCAAATGGGTAAGATGTGTGACATTATCTGGTTTACACGTGCAGCAATTTTTGTACCGTTAACTGTGGAGCAATGGAAGTGTTATAATAATATTGTTTTGTACTGAGTATTTATTTTAAATGTGTCAGTAAAAAGTATCGGTTCAGGTGCCAATACGACAAAGAGTTGAGTACCGAGAGCTTTTTGACTATTTAACAAAAATATTTTTACGATGATGCAAGCCTTTTTAATTGTGTGAGAGTTGACTTGGGCGATCATTACTTGAGCATTTTTGTTTTTTTTGTATAATATTTTTACAATAGTATTTTTGCAATAAGACTGATCGTTTAACCAACCTCTTATGGAAGATATGATAGCTTCAATCAATTAAACTACATCTAAACCACCATTCATATTTCAGCAATATCTGGCCTGGAGGACGTATTGTACATTGAAAAGGGAAAGGAGCTGTCCATCTCGTGTACAGCTATCGGAGATAGTGCCACGGAGATCGAGTGGACCTACAACGGATTAGCGTACACCACAGGGGTGGTGGCAGGTGCTACTTGGGACAAAGACACCCACTCTATAACCAGCACCATCACCATAGAGACGGTGGATACTGCTAATGATGGCAACTATGTTTGCGAGCACTCCGGTGATGACTCTCTTCAGGATACCATCACTGTTGATGTTTACGGTTAGTTTGGGTTTGTTTATATTAGGTTTTGTGGTGGTTTATGTCTTAGATTTTATAAAGAACTGAGGATCAGAGGATTAAGTGTGTAGATTAAGTTTAAAAATTTGTTCGTGCATTTATGATCACGTCAAAAACCTAAAAAAGTGAAGAAATCCTAAATTTGAAATTCCGCATTTCAGAGGTGGAGGTTGTTAGCAAAGAAGTAAAGACTGATACGACAACAGTTCTTACTTGCATGGTGAAAGCAGTCACAAAACCATTCACCTTCGCTTGGATTGATGCAGTAAGTTTATATTCTTGGCTGTTTAGCTTAGCGTAACGCTGACCGTGATTTAGTGTTAAACTTCGTTTGAATTATGTCGAAGCTACTGATCCTAACACAAATATTCAATTGATTCCAGATTATTTTAACTTGGTGTTAACTTTCAGTCAGTAAGTTCATTTTAGAACGTGAAAAGGTGAAAGTGTGAAAGTGATGCTAAATAATCGCTACCTTATTTTTTAGTCCAGATTGCTAATTCTGCATCTAAAAATTAAATCAAACGAACATTATATTGATTGCTAATTTTGCATCTAGAAATTAGATCACTTGTACACTTGTCTTGTAAATGACGACAATTTAAGTTAAGAACGTGTCCTGATTTTGTTCGGCTAGTTGCCAGCATCTGCTTATTATCCTATAAAGCTATAAGCGGTACTCACTCGATTACATACTGCGTATTCCAGTACATGCACCGTTAAGCTAGGGTATATAAGCGGTTATTGGTTTTAGTGATTAGCCGCACAATAGCATGTCTACTTCACATCTTAATAACTTGTTTATTTTATTGATCTGTGATTACTGATCTATTTGACTAAAAATGATACAGCTGCTTGATTTTTTATCTTTAAATATGTTTTAAATCATATTGAATGTATGTTTATTGTTCATGCCGTGATTAATGAACATATAACTAGTAAGAGATCTATATTGTTAATGTTGACTGACTAACACGCTATTGAAGACAACTGACCTAAAATTCTACATGACTGTGATATTAATATTTCAGCGAGTTTCCCAACCTCCTGGTTTACGTTAGAGTTCAGGTCAAGGTGACTGGCCATGCTTTCAACTAGCTAGCTTTAAAACTGGCTCACTGACAGGCCTTTTAACAAGTTAGCTTAACAGCTTCTTCAGCTAAAAACCGCTCCTCCGGCTAAAATGACAGCTTTTAGTTTTACGGCTAAATTGACCGTTGTTGTTTCTTGAGTATGATACCACACAAATATACGACAAACAGACGACAGTATAACTTAATTTATCAAATCCCTGACTCCTACCCCATTACAGTCAAGCCAACCAGTGACAGCTCAATCTGAGAGCGTGGTAGACGGGAGTAATAACCAGAAGAGTGAGCTAACATTGTCAGCTCCGCAAGCTGATACAACTTACACTTGTACCCTGACTGATCCTCTCGGAGTCAAATCTGATCCGGTGATTGTCAAGCTTAATGTGTTTGGTGAGAAACCTTTTCATAATTTGTTTTAGGATCTTTGCTGCTTATCATTTATCAATATATCCGTTACTTTACTGGTTGATTATAACAGTATGAGTATAAATGTAATATGGTAAGTTACGCAATTGAACGTAACACAGAATTTAAGTTAAACACTGTTTTGGAGAGCTATAGGTAGTTTCATTGCGTCTTAATTGACACCTCACCTCCGCAGAGATAACACCGACAAACGCTAAAGGCAAGGTGGGAGAAGACGCTGTCGTTACTTGCGAAATCAGTGACATCACTCAAGCTGTCACCGTCGTGTTCAACGACGGAACCGACGACCTGGCATCAGAAGCTAACGTCCGTCTTATTGAAACAGGAGCTCCGATAGCTGCGGATGCTACCACCCAGACCGCTAAGATGACCCTGTACAACGTACAGGATGATGCTACTTTTACCTGCAAGGTGACCTCTGGAGAGTACCCCCTCTCTCCGGTTCAGAGCGAGGAGGTCACGGTTTCTGTGTCTGGTGAGTTCTCATTCTTACCTGGGTACCTTTGTTGTTGATAGACTTTTTGTTTTTAAGCAGATGAAAATTTGATATTCCATCTCCATGTAGATTGTAGCAATGTACTTGTATGGAACAACTGGATTAAAAACATTGTACATTAAGTACAGTGTACATTAAGTACATTGTACATTAAGTACATTTTACATTGATGTCGTAAACAGTCTGTTTACACTTTACAAGTCTTACCATTAGATTGAATATAAATAACTTCAACCTCCAACAGGTGTTACAATCGACGTCAAATACGCGATTAATAAAGTAGGAGAATCCCAAAACCTGGTGTGTACTGGTGATGGAGATGCTAGCATGACGATAGAATGGTTTGCTGCTGAAGCTCCTGACACTGCTCTCACTGCTGTGCTTGGAGACTTTGACAACAAAGCCGGTACTTTCACTTTCTGCGATTTAAGTGTTTTCTGCCAAAATGACGATAGATTAAGTACATGTTTTTATAACAAAGATCATGTAAAACAATTATTCCAGTTTAGAATAAAATGTTTCAGTAGCAACTCCAGACTAATCAACAACATCAGGTACCAGAACCAGCACTCTCTCGTTCGCAAGCCTCACAATTGAGGACAGTAAGGAGTATACCTGCACAGTGAAGTACGGAGAGGGTGAAGGTAACAAAGTCAGTGGGAAGGCCAGGATTGACGTTGTCGGTAAGTGAACACTTCCAGCAAGTGTATTAATCACAAAACAAATGATTTTTAATGTTACCCGGGAAACCCCTAATATTCTACAATCTACATGACTGTGATATTAATATTTCAGCGAGTTTCCCAACCTCCTGGTTTACGTTACAGTTCAGGTCAAGGTGACTGGCCATGCTTTCAACTAGCTAGTTTTATAACTGGCTCACTGACAGGCCTTCTAACCAACTGGCTTAACAGCTTCTCCAGCTAAAATAACAGCTTCTCCGGCTACAATAAAACTTCTCCAGTTAAAATAATAGGTTTTCCGGCTAAAATATTAGCTTCTCCAGCTAAAATAACAGCTTTTACGGGAAAAATCACGCAAAATAATCGGTTTTCCTATTATTCTATTTACTGTTAGCTAATTGATGTCTTCAGGTGTGACCATATCTCCTGATGTCGGAAAGAAATCCGGGGAAACTGCGGTATTGTCATGTGACTACAACACATTCTCCGATGCTGCTGTGCTGGCTAAGTGGTTCAAGAAGAACCCAACTAACGGACAGGCTGATACCGAGCAGACACAATCATCAGGTACAAATTAGTAGTTATTAGAAATGCTTCTCAATCATTCCAGTTCATTCAAATCTATCACCTTATGAAGTAAATTGAAAATGATACCTTCAAACCTAACAATATTTTCTCTACTTAACAACAACCCCTCACATCCAGATATAGACAACAGCCAGAAGGGCAAGTCCACCTTCACTCTGACGAACGTACTGTTTGCTCAGAGTGGTGATCAGTACTACTGCCAGCTTCAGTACCAGGAGACCGCATCTGGTGCGACTGAGGCCAGCACCTTTGAATCAGAGATCAGGACTTTATTCGTCAGAGGTTAGAATTGTATGAGTTGAAGTTAAGATGGTTTATTTTTTGTCGGATCTATTAAACTGCGATATTGTACTTTCTGATGGATATTTGGTTAGTGCTACATAATAATACTTGCAAGTTTCGGTTTTTTACCTTTCATCCTTGGGGCGATATTTGTTTTGTGCACCATAACAGTCAGTAATTCTCAGAATAATAGCAAAGCCTCTTTTTCAGAACTTGTAACCTCTGCCTACCCTACACAATACATCCATGTGGGAGACACCGTCAGTCTGGTCTGTGATCTCAAAGTCAAGACAGAAGACGAACTGGAATCAATGAAGTGGTTCATTGGATCGGAGGAAGTAGACGACAGCAAATTGTTTGATAATGCTAACTTTGACACGACCAACACGTTACAGAAGACTACTTATACTGATCCTGTGCCTGATAAGACGGAGGGAGGCATTTACAAGTGTGAATATAGTTTTAAAGTTGGTGATCCCATCAGCTTGGAGACCACTGTCGCCGTACACTGTAAGTACCTGTTTTTCCAGTTGTTGTGAATATTTTGAATTTACTTCTTCATTCTTTCGTGAAAATCTCGATTTGCCATTTTATAATTAATGAATAAATATCTCCTTATTCACGGTTTTACGAATAATAATGATTTGACTACACAGAACTGTTTACCATGAACTAAAGTCTAAATCCTTTCAGTCCTGACCGCTTGGCCTGCTTTGACTCTCAACGAGAACTCTCTTATATGCGAGTTCGAAGGAACAAACCAACCGACAATCAAATGGCACAGTGCAGATGGCCAGGAGTTAGTAGTAGGAGGGAGCTCTCCCTACAGTGTGACCCCCGGAGGCTGGACTGTCAACTCAATGATCTCCACTCTTAACATTGACAAGTCCAAGTACCTGGAACTGGCCAGTATAACTTGTAAGATCACATTTGATGATGCTGCCGTTACTGATCCCCTGGAAACCACCACTGCTCTTCACTTCCGAGGTGGGATGTTGGTTAGGTTTTTAGATGGGGTGGAATCTTTTTCCATGGAAGATATGGGATTGAATTTTCGGTCATCGTGATGAGTGGAATTTGCAGTGTTTTCCTAAAATCCCAATTTTGGTAAACGATGAAACTGTCGCAATATTGATGACTTGTTATCGAGATTTAAAAATCATCTGAATACATTTACTTCATCAGAAATCAAGGAGAAGAGTACAACAACATATACAACTGGAGAGGACATTGTCCTTTCATGTGTATTCGATTTCATCAAGGGTGGTACAGGACCTACAACTGTGAAATGGTCTGATCTAAGCGATCTAACTGAGAATGACGAATATACCGTCGATTTAGGTGAGGATTGTAAATCAATAGATCATTACGTATCTGAACTTTTAGTTTTGACTTTTACCCAATAAATAATACACAAAGTCTTGTTAAAAGTAGAAAAGTAACCCGTCTGCTATCCAAGGAACGAATGAAGCTGACGGTAAGCGAACGACGACTTTGACACTGAAAGCTATCGACGATATCAAATATGCCCAGATGTACACTTGTCATTTCGAATATTCTGACACTGAAAAGTACGAGTCAGAGGGTATAGAAGTCGCAGTTAGAGGTAAGTCAGTTGTTAATAGTTGTTAATAGTTGATAATAGTTATTAATAGAATGTTGATAGTTGTTAATAGTTGTTAATAGATTGTTGATAGTTGTTGATAGTTGTTGATAGTTGTTGATAGTTGCTGATAGTTGTTAATAGTTGTCCATAGTTGTTAATAGTTGTTAATAGTTGTTAATAGTTGTTAATAGTTGTTAATAGTTGTTAATAGTTGTTAATAGTTGTTAATAGTTGTTAATAGTTGTTAATAGTTGTCGATAGTTGTTAATAGTTGTTAATAGTTGTGAATAGTTGTTAATAGTTGTTAATAGTTGTTAATAGTTTTTAATACTTGTTAATAGTTGTTAAAAGTTGTTAATAGTTGTTATAGATTGTAGGGATATTCAGCAACAGACAGATCTGAAATCAGGGTATATAGTACAGGGAAATCCGTCTGAAAAAATCGATCTGCTGACACACGAAGCTTACAAAGGATTTTTGACGTTTTTGAGTCCTAGTAGGTGCCCTCTATGGCTGACCAACTTTTCCAAACTTTTCCACGTGGCTTAAGGCCACTTTTTGCCACTTTACCACTTTTTACCACCTTTCTTATTTGTCGAATATCTTTAGTTGTGAACATCGTAAAAGGTTGCGAATCAATCGAGTGTGTTTATATTATCAGGAAGAAAAACTTTTGTTCTAACAATTTTTACGTCAGATAATAATTTAATTGGATAATTATCAATTAACCAATTAGCAAAATTCTAAAAATTTTTTATTGGCTAAAAATGATCGGAATAGCTTAAAACACGGAGAAAAGTAGTTTTTAGAAAAAATTTGAAAATTTTTCACTTACATTTTTTTTTCGAGACTTAAAAAAATTTCGAAAATTCAAAATATTTTTTTCCGCCAAAAGTGACCAAATTGCAAGAAACGCGGAGAAAAATGATTTTCAAAAAAAACTTAGTCAATTTTTCGTTTCAAGAATACTTAAATCACCAATATTTGTAGTTGGAGTTCAGTAAATCTCGGCAGATTTTAGTAATAATCAGGAATTACTAACTCTAAGTGGAAAGGTCTGAAACTGAAAAACGTTAAGTTTAACCATACGATCGCGATATAAGAGTTTCATAACTAATAACAATACAGCCTTATCGATTTTCACAGAAACTGCACCAATGGCACAGTCAAGATCGAAACGATAGCCTGCTGTACTGTCATTTTATTGATTTCAATGATGAATCAGTGGGGTTAAGATAATCACATTTGTAATAAATAAAACCTCTCTGTACCGTCAATTGTGCTGTCTAAACCGGCCTACCTGTATTACCAGACCTCTTCTTTTCCTCAACAATCAAACCGAGTTGTTCATATCGCATTTGGTGGGTGATGTAAACTAAGTAGTAATACATATCGAGCTATTTTCAATCACAATACGACACAATGCAACACGTGTATATTATATTATGGCCCTTAATGAGGTATATGAAACGTTCTATACCGTACACTTCTCGTTTCTCCAGTGAGAGGCCCGATATGGAGAGGTTTTACAGTTTATCACGAAAATGTCTACTTGGTCTCATGGCTCTTTGACAGCTCAAAGAAGGCAAGAAAAGACCAGAAAGCTTAGAATGTCAACTCGCAAGAGCGGGCTACCGGACAACTGAACTCAATTTAGACATTTAGATTAACCCTAACCCTAACCCTAACCCTAACCCTAACCCTAACCCTAACCCTAACCCTAACCCTAACCCTAACCCTAACCCTAACCCTAACCCTAACCCTAACCCTAACCCTAACCCTAACCAATTAAGCTGATTGGTTAGTGGGAACTAGGTTCAATTGGGTTCAGTTGTCAGTCTTCGATCTGTCCCACATTAATCCCGAGCTGATCATCATGGGCCCCGAATATCCTGCGGGAAGAACCTGTATTTTTACTTCACGACGTCCGGATTTCAAATCAACATCCTCAATAACATTAACAATCCTTCCTGATCAGGATCTGTCTCTATTATTTTCCAAAATATCCTAACTCTCGTGGAACATTTCACTGAATTAATTATAACTGGTTCTTTACTACCCCTTGCCCGACACTGTACTCGTATCTAAATCTTACCCTTTCCCGTATGTTACCCTTGTTGATTTTACTTTTAGCCGACCCTGACATATGGGGGTGATTTGAGGTATCCCGCAAATGAAGCGGTATGCAGTACAATACAAAACAGTCACAGTAGATGTTGGAAGGTGTATTTACACTTGCTTCCTGGACCTGGCTGTTCCTCAGTTTCCCTGATCTGTTCTTGCCCTTCTTCGAACTGTAAATGAGCCATGAGACCAAGTAGACGTTTTCGTGATAAACTGTAAAACCTCTCTATACCGGGTTTCTCACGGTATAAAGCGTTTCATAAACCTCATTAAGAGCCATATAATATACACGTACTGTGTCGTATTGTGATTGAATATAGCTCGATATGTATTACTACTTAGTTTACATCACCCACCAAATGCGATATGAACAACTCGGTTTGATTGTTGAGGAAAAGAAGAGGTCTGGTAATACAGGTAGGCCGGTTTAGACAGCACAATTGACGGTACAGAGAGGTTTTATTTATTACAAATGTGATTATCTTAACCCCACTGATTCATCATTGAAATCAATAAAATGACAGTACAGCAGGCTATCGTTTCGATCTTGACTGTGCCATTGGTGCAGTTTCTGTGAAAATCGATAAGGCTGTATTGTAATTAGTTATGAAACTCTTATATCGCGATCGTATGGTTAAACTTAACGTTTTTCAGTTTCAGACCTTTCCACTTAGAGTTAGTAATTCCTGATTATTACTAAAATCTGCCGAGATTTACTGAACTCCAACTACAAATATTGGTGATTTAAGTATCACAGTGCTGGCAAGCACGACCGGTGCATTTATTGTGGGTATACTATGTACCCCCTTTACTATTATACCCCCTTTACTATTATACCCCCTTTACTATTATACCCCCTTTGGTACACGTTACAAGCCTCTTTCGTGCACGCGAAGCGTGCACTCCGGCCGGAGGCGGCGGCCGAAGGCCGCCGCCTCCGGCAGGAGTTTTTCAGGCATTAAGACTCATCGGAAGTCGTTCAGCAGATTTATTTTTAGTTCAAAACATTCTAATTTGATGTCAAAGATGACAGGAATAAAAAATAGTTATGTTGAGATTTTTAAGAAATTTGCATAAAATACTCGCCAGCACTGTTATACGAAATTCGGTAAAAAACCCAAAATCGCCATATTCAGGTGCCTTAAAAACCATGTTAAAATCGAGTTAGAGATCTGAAACTTTGCAGGGTGTCTAGATGTTGACCAAATCGACTGCAAAAAAAGTTTCAAGTTTCAGGGGCATCGGGAAATAGGTTTTCTAGAACCCCTGTTTTACGACAGATTGTCGTGACATAGATACATATATATTCAGGGATAGACGCTTTGCCAGTCAATTATAGGCTATATTCAGGTGTCTGTAGATTCAGAAGCTTTAAAGATACAGCCATCTCGGACCACAGGTCTTGAAGATAATTGTTTAGACTTCAGTTTACATTATATTAAAATTTAAATTAACGTCATCATCACCACTTGATGACGTCATCAAGTTAACCATTTTAAAAACTTGATTTTTGACAAAGTAGTCACTTTTAAAATCGATTTTACACCATTAAGGAGTAATTTTATTCAAAATCTGAGGACATTTTCATCGTAGATAATTGTTCAAGTATTCTGAAAATCTACCGGAAAGTTTTTCTAGCTTGCTCCTTCATAAAGATATTCGTCATTGAAGTTTGTGCTTTTTTGAAGAATTATTTTATAAAAACGTCAATTTTGCGATTTAGTATTCTCTGGTGTTGGGCCATGCCTTGGGTTGTGGAGCTCAGTTCTGCTTCCTATAGATATAAATTGTGCATTAGGCTAGTTTTAAAGTTAAAAATCGAAAAGTTGCACACGTGGGGACACGCCCAAATTGATAGAAAATTGCTAAAATCACTGAAAATTGCTGTTTTCGTCATTTTCTGTCAACTTTAGAGTGCCGTTGTGATTACAGTTCTTCTTGAAATACTTTGAAACTTTGCATGTTTATCAAGCTATATATACAACAATTACATGCAAAATTTTACGGCGATTCAATATTGGATGCGCACGCAACGTCCGCTCAAAGTTTGCACGTGCGAAAGGTGAGAATTTTGCTCATTTGTGATTTCCAACAAATTCTGCTTTGCCACGACAGTTTAATGTCATTATAAATGAATTTAATGCCAACTTGAATGAGTATTAAGTGGCATATTCAGTCAGTGATCGACCGATATGCTTACCTAAACACAAGGAAATGTTTTTAAAGGAAAAATTTCAAAATTGTTGAAACTTCCTCCTTATTAATGAAGATATCAGTTTATATTTCGACTTTATAAAGTACCCTGACAGTGACATTATAATCAAAAAGAGATGATATTTGACCAAAACCAATAATCATGGGTAGAGTGGACCGCTGCCAGTGTCTCTCTTTCCCAAACAAAAGGAAATGATATTAATTTGATTGACCGTTCTCAAATGCAAAATGATACCGAGAATGAAATCGGTCGCTCGCTTTTCCCATTCATTTACAATTGTAATAGATTAAGAAGAACTACCCAAAGGCAGCTGTACTCAGCAATAAAGATTCAATAAACTTCAGCTAATTCAATAAGTAATAACTACCACCCTTACCCCGAAATACTAGGTATCGACCCGAACGCAACCCAAAGAGATTTTTACAGCATCTGATTGATGTACCTAATCAATCGAAACCTATTACAATTCGTAAGCCGTGAATGAATGGGAAAAGCGAGCGACCGATTTCATTCTCGGTATCATTTTGCATTTGAGAACGGTCAATCAAATTAATATCATTTCCTTTTGTTTGGGAAAGAGAGACACTGGCAGCGGTCCACTCTACCCATGATTATGGGTTTTGGTCAAAATTCTTGAAACGAAAAATTGACTAAGTTTTTTTGAAAATCATTTTTCTCCGCGTTTCATGCAATTTGGTCACTTTTGGCGGAAAACAATATTTTGAATTTTCGAAATTTTTCCAAGTCTCGAAAAAAAAATGTAAGTTAAAAATTTTCAAATTTTTTCTAAAAACTACCTTTCTCCGTGTTTTAAGCTATTCCGATCATTTTTAGCCAATAAAAAATTTTTAGAATTTTGCTAATTGGTTAATTGATAATTATCCAATTAAATTATTATCTGACGTAAAAATTGTTAGAACAAAAGTTTTTCTTCCTGATAATATAAACACACTCGATTGATTCGCAACCTTTTACGATGTTCACAACTAAAGATATTCGACAAATAAGAAAGGTGGTAAAAAGTGGTAAAGTGGCAAAAAGTGGCCTTAAGCCACGTGGAAAAGTTTGGAAAAGTTGGTCAGCCATAGAGGGCACCTATTAGGACTCAAAAACGTCAAAAATCCTTTGTAAGCTTCGTGTGTCAGCAGATCGATTTTTTTCAGACGGATTTCCCTGTACTAATAACCTGGAGGCCCCTTCGACATTTTATGGCATTCGTATTTCTTAAGTTTTAGTTATGTTCTGCAGTAATGGATGAAAAAAATTGTTAAATCCTGCAGGGTTAATAACGCTATCTTTTCAGTGGTGAACGTGGACCCAATCAAATACTACCACACCAACGCCAACTTCAAGATAATCTGTTCATTCGTTGGAGCTGAGAAACCTACTGGTGTGAAGTGGTCCTACAAAGGACCCAACGACTCCGGGTACTCTCCAATAACCTCAGGATCTGATAACTTTGACCTGGCTTTGGTTAAAGATAATACAGAGGCTGTGCTCACTAAAGGCCCGCATACAACTGATGACAATGGCGAATATGATTGCGAATGGGAGTTTGCTACTAACCCCTCTTTGAAGCCAACCGGAACGCAAAATGTCATCGTTGCTCGTAAGTTCCAGTCAAAAAGACTATTTTAAATAATTTGACGTCAATTTGAATTATTTGTTTGAAATGGTGAACTTTGTATAAAGATTAATTTTATCTAAAACCACACCGTTTCAGTGTTACAGATGCCACAAAAGGACTTGTCACCGATAAACGAACCACCTGGAATTAAGGTCGACTTGACTTGTACTGTTGTCAACGATGTAACTATAGATATTTACTGGTACCAAGGTCAGTCACATTAACTTACTGTATAATAGATGTATAACTAAAATGGTTTCAGATAAATCAGCAAAAAGTTCTACAACACAGTGATCAATAAGTTAATTTAATTGATCTCTATAGAGAAAAAAAAGTTAACCATCGACCCTCTCGCAGGTGATACATATTTGAAAAACCTTCTCGAGGAGTTTGACGAGTCTACGAAGATTGTCAAGACAACTCTGACAATAGATAGCTTCGCTAACTCTGACGCTGGCGAATACAGCTGTAGACTAGACAAGGATGGGTCCACCAGCCAGGTCACCCAGGACAGCGTTATTCTCAAGATCCAAGGTTAGTTTGTTTGTTGGTCCATTCATTATTAGGTAATTTTTGGAGAGTAAGTACATTTGGGTTTTCTACTTTTAGTTACAATCTCGATAAAACAAAGAAGCAGCTCTCGCAACTTTGTCCTATACAAAGTTTAACTTACTTGAATGGTTTCATTAATGGTTTTGTCCCCAATTTGATACTAAAGTTTCTCGCTTTACCTGCACTTGGATATCACGCTAATTAAGTTTGACTGTCAACTTATACTCAACTAGGTAAGTTTCGCATTTTCTCTCTCCCTCCCTTTTTCTCTCTCCCTCTCTTACATAACATAAGAATGTAGTGGTCGCAACATTCCGTAATTGTTAATTGAGATTAAGTGTTTTCTATTCATCCACATAGTTAAAGTTTCATAAGTTTGTTTTGGATATGTTCTACTATACTGTCACATGAAATTTTTCAAATTTATCTTGATTGCTTGATGCGTGTTTACGACTAAGCAAGTTTATACTTTTTAATTTCAACTGCGATAGTGACGTCCCGGCCGTAGGCCTGAGTTACACTAGAAACGAAACGAAACACTGTATTTACTACCCCGCTACTACGAGACAAAGATATTATATAACATATAACTAAATAATTTACACAATACGGTGCCCATGTCTGAGCAGCTCTCCTCAAAAAACTTTCTCTCCTCATCGGAGCAGAAAGTTAAAAACAAAACACGGGTCTCATAAAATCAAAAAATACTAAATAATGCTAAAGAGATAATATTACTTTAACTATCGCAAAAAATGGTAATAGTATACATAAAATTGCCCATATAGATAATATAATAGAACAAGTTTTTTTTTCTAAAAATATTCCCACTAAAGTTCTTTATTATATATATTTGATTAAACGAAACAAAAGAGGGCATATCTTGGCAAACGAATAAATTGTCAAGCTGGATCGCAATCACACAACAGATTGAAATTGAGTCACGTTAGTCGGAACAAGCAGGCCGTGACTCGAGTCACGAAGTATGTTTAGAGGTCATAAAAGTTTTAATAGAAGTCAATTATGTGAGTTGTCACCTTATGTGTTTAGGTGATAAGAATCCGCGAAAATTCCGAAATTCACGCGTTAATTATAACAGTTGGAAAATAATGATTGTAAAATAATGATAATTGGAAAATATAGATCGTAAATTAATAATACTTGGAAAATAATAGTCGTAAATTGATAATATAAATAACAAAAATTGTAAAACTTTCTATGTATGAAGATGATTAATGATTATATAGGTATTACTATTGCATTGGCAATAATGGAACTTATTCCAGTTATCATTACTAAGACGTGTTATTTGTCACGTACCTCTTTTCTCGTTATCACTTCCATATTTGGTATGATTACGTCACACACTCCTAATATGGTCACGAACTGTTCGACAGGTGTTTGGGTTCCATTATTGCACCAGCTCTTAGCTCATTAGTCTGTTATGTTCAATTTCAAGGGAACTTTAGGTATCGTCTATCAATATTGCAACACGTAGTTATAGTTACGGGCTAATTTATAGCAAGTTTCGGGATTGATCTGGCGAACTTTTGAGTTTTGACTCCATACTCGTTTAAAATGTGTTGGGCAACGTATATGACTTATCCTCATTTTCCGATGACTTATACTCCGCAGCGCTCCCTTCCATAATACTTTTGGAATTGGTATAGTAGCACTTGCGGAGTCAAAGTTATCAGAGCCTTGTTTGGCAAGGGACTCTGCGTTTTCATGGCTGTACCATCACTACCACATGAAGCTCGCTTAAAAACCTTTGTACATTTTGCACCAGTTGGTCTTCTAGTGAACTTATCGTGTTTTGTGATTAATTGGTAACACCCCAGACAGATATATACCTTTTTATATGTAATATGTAAATGGTCCCACACCCTCAAAAGGATACAAATTCTCATAGAAGATGCTGGTGTGCATATTGCATAATTTGTCACCACGCATGATCCTTGCTTTTGTTTAAAGAAACTCAAATGTATACTTTTAGTACTGCAATATCGCAATTCTTTCGAATATTATCTTGATAAAAGGGGAAACTACACTCTACTGACCCGTTTAAACTTGATTTCAAGGTCTTGCAATTTTAAGATTGTGCCATTTCAAGTGTAGTAGATCCCTGAAACAGGGAATCGTGAGAACAGCTTGATTTCCTGTTTACAGTTTTCCTTCGCCAAACTCACTGTAAAAATTCAGTGTTTAGTTTTTGAAATTGATCAACTCCTCAAAATTTACATCCTGAATCGTCATTTTAGTTTTATGCGTGGATAAAGATCAGAACCCGGATGAATTTCTGTCTGAGTCTATCCCTATTGCTCATCTACCAAGCCTACTCCGTTCTGTCAAGTTAATACAAAATGCTGTTTTATTTTAAGTACATTTTTCAAGACGCACAATCTGATGACACACACTTGAATTCATAACTTGCTATAAACACACATTCTAACTTCACTCTTAGTCTTACAATCTACGTAGATTATAACACACATCATATCTTCACTCTTACAATCTATGTAGATTATAATACACATTCTATTCAGGTCTGGACACAACTCCAGAAGCTGCTGGAAGTATCTACATTGAGGAAACTAAAAGTACAACTATCGCCTGTAAGATCGACAACGAAGGCACCGTCACGTGGACTAAAGATGGCGCAGCTTTTGATGATGCTGCTATCTATAGCGCAGGAACATACAACTCACAAGATGATTCCACAACCAGCACTCTCACTTTCTCAAGTGTAACTGTTGCAAATGAGGGTGTTTATGTATGTACCTTCAAGACTTTGACCGCCACCTTCACTTTGGACGCTTTCGGTAAGTCTTACATTATTATCAAGTTAACGACTGTGAATGATCATATGATGGAACAGTTTTAAGCTATCCTTTTAATGAAAATTCTTCGACTGATTTATATTAATCCCACACATTTTTTCCCAGGTTTTGAAGTACAAAACAAAGAGGTGAAGTCAGGAGAAGCGACTGAGTTGATCTGCAGTGTAACTGGCAGCAATAAAGTGTTTTCGTTCGCATGGACTGATTCGGTAAGGAATAATATAAATTGTATAAATATCCTTCAACCTGAAAAATGCCAACTTATGTAGCGCGCACTGAACGAAGAGGACTTTAATATGACACAATACTCAATAAATCAAAAAGAGGACTGTACAAAATTACCACAACTGTATTTGTCTATAACTTCGTAACTATTTATTCTTGCAATGAGCTTATAAAGTCATAGATACCACGAGTCCCGACTGCCGTATTAGTTATAAAGTTATAACGAGTCATTTTTTGTCCGATCCATTAATTTCTCCCAAATTTATTAAAATAATAATACCTGTTGACAGGCTGACGGTGCGGTAAACTCTGTTACAGACTCACAACCGGACTCAAATAACGTCCAAAACAGCAAGATCACAGTTACCCCGACCCAAGATACTACCTATAAGTGCACCGCTACCGATCCCCTAGGAAAGGGAACAATTGAGGATACCATTATTCTGAATGTCTTTGGTTTGTACTTTTGACATTTAGTGAACTCAGTTGTTTTCGATCTGCGTTACATCAATTTCAAACCAAGTCAATATAAAGAAATTTATCAAAATTATTCAAGAAACAAATAGTTTGGTCTAGACTCTAGTTTGGTTTTACCCGTTTTTCTAACATCGTAATTTCTACAGAAATAACGGATCCTACAGAAGTTATGGCTCAAGTTGGAGTAGCAACATCCCTGACATGTGGAGTAACTGGTAATACTGGAACACCCAACTATATTTGGTACAAGGTCGGATCAGACACACCTGTCTACACGGATACTGGAAATGCAGCCACTTCCACCTACGACATAGCCGATCCTCAATTTTCTGACGACGGGGCCTATAAATGTACAGTTGCCATGAAAGTTGGCGACTTTACAAACGATGTGTTTGAATCAGCCACAACTGAGCTGATCATGAAGCGTAAGTTATTAAATCTATCTTGACTACCCCTCACGAAAACATAACTCTTCAGCCTTCCACAATTTGGACATAACAATTTTCTTTGTTCCTAACGTCTAATAGTATACCCAAAAGAGCTGACGACCTCGTTCGGAGACGAGACGACGGTAAAGACAGCTACTGATACCCTGGTATGTACGTATAAGGGAGATAACGATGTTTCTAGCGTAGTCTGGACTGGTCAAGGTGGTGCTTCTGTCGATGCTTCCAAGGTATGATTTTGTGATATTTTGAATTTTATGGTATTTGAAAAAATGACATTATGTTGAGGTCATTTTCGCGCAGCAACTTTCCAATCGATCTGAGAAATGCATAATCGTCGTCGAGAATTACATAACTGTTTTTGTATTAATAAGGGAATAAGGGAGTCATACTATAATACATACTATGATACTCTTAGTTTTCATAGCTTGAATATTATTTAAGTATTATAATAGACTTTATTTACTATTAACCTCTCAACTATTAGGTGGAAACGGGTGACTATAACGAAAACGACCAAACCAAAGTGAGCACATACACGTTCACTGGGGTAGAAGGGAAGGACGGAGGTGACTACACCTGTACTTTCAACTTCGACAAAAACACCATCACTCCTCTGTCTAAGAAAACTAAGGTCACCATCGCTGGTAAGTGCTCAATGCTCATGACGTTGAACCTCGTTATTTTAAATAATATTTCATTTTTGATGGTCGAAATTTTTGGCTAACATCCCGGTATACTATCTCGCTGCTCTCATATTAAATGGTAAACTTTTCAGTTTTGGGAATGTTTGATGCCATAACGATCAACGAAGAATCACTCGACTGTACCTTCTTCGGCACCTTCGAACCAGCCTCAGTAAAATGGTACACAGCTGCGAACCAAGAAGTGGACACAACAGCCGGATCTGCTTACTCTATCCCCGCCTCCTCCTGGGATAGTAACACCAACTCCATAACCTCCACTCTGAGTGTCGACAAGTCCAAATACACTGATGTGGTTACGTTTACATGTGCTGTTCAGTTCGACGCAGGAGACACCTTCCCCGACAGTGTTGCTGGACTGGAGACTGTCACCTCTCTACACTTCAGGGGTAATCTCTCGTTCTATTTTAAGTATCTTTCTTTTTTGTATATCTTTGTTTTATCTTGTTTTAAAAAAATGTATGTTGATTTGAGTTTAATTTGTGCGCGCGTGACGCGTCGCTAAAACTTTATTCAACCATCGCTGCAGCAGTCAGCACAATGCAGGGTTTCATGTTGACTTCTCTAACAATACCTATCCCAGAAATTGAAACACAGAGTTCAACTACCTACTCAACCGGGCAAGATGTCACTTTATCCTGCGTATTCGACTTCACGAAGGGAGGCACTGGTCCAACATCAGTTGAATGGACTCAGATAGATGGTCTCACCATGGCCACTGATTACCTCGTGGAATTAGGTAATGAGAAGTAATTTTATACACCCCACTATCTGGCCTGTAATATATGGGATGACCAATTTATGAGTTCATTTCTATCCACATTTTCTGAATGAATAATGTAATCATTAAATTGTTCGACAGGAGAAAATGGAGCTGACGGGAAACGAACAACAACTCTTTCCTTGAAAGGAATAGACGATCCAAAGTTTGCCGAATTGTATACCTGCGGTTTCAAATATTCTGATACGGAAAAATACATTGAGAGTATCCAGGTTCATGTCAGAGGTAATTATACAGCTTTTCTAACTATTGACACCCTTTCTTACTATAACAGTTATTACAGCTATACATTCAAGTTGTATTTTGATGAGTTTTCTGTTAAAATACATTTTTGGTGATTAAAGCTTATGCTATTTTCGACCAAACCAATCTGTTTCCAATTAAATGTACCACTGTAATGTACTTTCAGTGTCAACTGTTGACCAAGCCTCGCAATACGTTCACACCAACGCAAACTTCAAGATAACATGTGACTTCGTGGGAAAGGAAACCCCGTCATCTGTAACATGGTCGCACAAAGCAACAGCTGATGCTGCGGCAACTACCGTCACTGATCAAATTACTGACTTCGGTTTGGAGCTGATTGATAGCAAGCAAGCTATACTCACCAAGTCGAATCCTTCTTCTGCTGACGATGGCGAATATACTTGTGAATTTGATTTTGCTGAGATGCCATCCGAAAAAGGAACCGCGAAAGCCGATATCGTTGCAGCTTGTAAGTCTAGTAGAACACAGGGAAATGGAAAAATGTACCTCATCTTTACCGTTAAAAAGTTGTGAAACCATTTTGCATTTTTAAATAACCAAATAATGATTTACCACGTTTGTCTATCATATTCTCGTACATATCACAAATCAAGACCATGCTAACGTTCTACCCTCCGTACCGATCAGTTAATTAAACCAATATTTCAGTGCTCCAGATGCCGCAACACACTTCATCTCCTATAACAGAAGCTCCCGCCCAGAAAATTATCCTTACTTGTACAGTTAAAAGTGATACTTCACTGGACATTTTCTGGTACAAAGGTAAATATTCACCTTGATAAAGTGACCAGTCACAATAAATGATACACCATTCTTGTTTATTTGTTGGATTTAGATTGTGTGATGCAGGATTGAAATGGATATCCGTAAAATAAACAGTCGCAATCGGTTCTCACTTTTAAAAGATACTGCACCTAATTTAAACGAACCTCCAAGTCACATTCTTATCATTGTAACGCTAACTTGAACTCCTTTCCCTGTACCTAATCTCTTATTTCCAGGAGCAACTGAACTGACCAACACATTTGAAGAAGTTTTGAGGGCTAACGTAATTTCATCAGAACTTACTATTGCCAGCTTCACATCCGCGGATATCGGGGAATACTCGTGTAGACTGGATAATGATGGTAGCATCCTCCGAGTCTCCGAACACAGGATCATTCTCAAGATCCAAGGTTTGTTTGTGGTCTACTTAGGACTACTTAGAACTACTGAGGACTAATTGGGATCACTTAGGATTACTTAGGATCACTTAGGATTACTTAGGATTACGTAGGATCACTTAGGATCACTTAGGATCACTTAGGATTACTTAGGATTACTTAGGATCACTTAGGATCACTTAGGATTACTTAGGATTACTTAGGATCACTTAGGATTACTTAGGATTACGTAGGATCACTTAGGATCACTTAGGATTACTTAGGATTACTTAGGATTACTTAGGATTACTTAGGATTACTTAGGATCACTTAGGATTACTTAGGATTACTTAGGATCACTTAGGATTACTTAGGATTATTTAGGATTACTTAAGATTACTTAGGATTACTTAGGATTACTTAGGATTACTTAAAACTACTCAAGACTACTTAGGACTACTTTAGCTTAGGGAGAAATGCAGGCTGTGGCAGTCCTTTTCAGTAAACATTATATAAACACCAGAACAGACAACTTGAAGCATTTTAACCATCTAATAATATAACTCGATATACAATACAATATAACTCAACTCACTGGGTTTACAAGGTTGCATATCTAGATAAATAAAATAAAATTAGATATATAAATAAAACTGTGATTACGTGATATTAATGATCTTTATGATCTTAGGGCTACTACCTCTAACAGAGTTTTGTGGAGAAATTTATTTACCTCATAATTAACCTTTATTTTTTAGAGAACTGTTATGTTTTTTTGGGCACTTATCAGTCTCTTAAGATGTTTCTTTACTATTTTGAGATTGTTTTAAAATTTAGATAATAATAAAATAAAACTGTGTCCACCAGGACTGGAGCCGACCCCTCTGGCTGCCGGAGCTGTTTACGCGGAAGTAGGAAAGAGTGCAAGCATTGCTTGTAAGATCGACAGCGAAGGAACAGTAACTTGGACTAAGGATGGAGAGTCGTTCACTGACGCAGCCTTCTATAGTGCGGGAACGTTCGACTCCGATAAAGATGAGCAAACGAGCACTTTGTCATTCGCTAGCGTCTCGAAGGACAATGAAGGAGTGTACGTGTGTACATTCAAGTCATTGTCTGCTACGTTTACTTTAGATGCTTATGGTATGTACACAACACAGCACATTATATTCATGTGTAGTTACAGGGCGTGCACTGTGCAGCTAGCAAGCTGATTTATAAAATTCGAAATTATTAGCTTCGTGAATTCGACTGTTTTCGTGGCGGAGATATGAGTTTTCCGTGACCTAAACTTTAATCTCAGGTCTGTCCGTGACAAACAAAGAGGTGAAGTCTGGAGTAGAATCAGTCCTTACATGCAAAGTTACTGACGTCACTTCTGCCTTCAGCTTTACATGGACTGATAAGGTACTGAAAAATAAAACATTGTCCTGGATTTTAATAATTAAGTCCAATCATAAGTATTGACGACATGGTTGCAGGATACGATAGCTATAATATTAAATACTACTTATTCACCAAGATATGACTTGCTTACAACAGATAATAGTATATATCCTCAATACTATCAAACCAACGACAAGATTAGTCACCTAACTAAGTAACCATCCTCCCTTCCAGGACTCGAAGGTGGTGAACGCTCTTTCCGAAGCAGTGAGGGACGAGAACGACGAACAGGAAAGTGAACTGACCGTAACCCCAACAGAGGATACCACATACACATGTACTGCCACAGATGCGACCCAGGGCCAATCAGCCATCACCGCTACCCTCGACGTGTTTGGTGAGACAAATAGAAAATTAGATCTTGTCTGTTTATTTAAGAGCTGGTATTCTGTAATAACTATGGAGATTAAGATTTTTCCGTTCTTAAACGGGCTTAGTTTTCATAATGCTGTTTGTCCACATTTCTGTTTACTTTATCAGTGATGATGGTTTTTAGAATATAATGGTGGAATTCCCTCAGAAATCACGAACCCAACTGACGTTTACGCTGAAGTTGGAGTAGCAACTTCCCTGACATGTGGAGTAACTGGTAATACTGGGACACCCAACTATGTTTGGTACAAGGTCGGATCAGACACACCTGTCTACACGGATACTGGAAATGCAGCCACTTCCACCTACGACATAGCCGATCCTCAATTTTCTGAAGATGGAGCCTATCACTGTAAAGTATCCGCGAAGGTTGGCGACGTTACAAACGACGGCTTCGAATCTGAAGATGCAAAACTTGTTGTGAGACGTAAGTCCTTTATTTCAACTTATTGCCGGCCTATCTAAAAGCTTGATCAACTATAAACCTTGGTACCTTTTTTTACCATATCAAAATAAAGCTGCTAATATTTTTTGTTATAACCTTTTCTTTCTGAAGAGGTATCAACATCATTCGGTGACGAAACTGTTATGAAGACGGCTACAGAAGCCTTTGTTTGCACTTACAAGGGAGATAACGACGTTTCTTCTGTTCAGTGGACAGGACCTAACGGTGTAATCGATCCAGCAACTAAGGTTTATATATCTCAGTAATGAAATCTTGTACAACGTACATTGTACAATGTACTTTGTACAATGTACACGTGCTTACTGCCCAACTGGTTGGGTGACACATGACATTGATTCTGCTGTTTATGGTCAATTCTGGTAGATGATTTTTTTATAAGAATTTTCCCTCTATAGTACTTGAATAATATGGCTTTAAGCTGAAAGTTGGAGACTAACTTTTTATTCGCGAATTTTTCCATAAACTCTGGTTTTCCTTAGATCGTAACAAGCAATTACGAAGACGAACTAAGAACAGTTGTAAGCACCTATACATTAGATGGAACAGATGGTGGACAGTACACTTGTACCTTCAACTTCAACAGTGGACCCGCCATCGCTAAATCTACTAATCTTGTTATTTTCTGTGAGTAAAGTTTAATTTATTACAGTTTGTTCAACTCTGTAGTAAATATAATTTCGAATGCAGGTTCATGCATGTAATGGTATTTTTGCAAATAATGTCATCAACAAGTGGCAATTTTCTAAAAACCAATTATCACGAATTTCAACTCCTCAGCAATGACGCAGATTGAGACACGTTACTTCAGCCCTGAACACATCGAGGTGAAATTCGAGGGTACCTTCGAACCAACCATCACGTGGTACATTGCTGGTGCCGAGTACGACGCGGGTACCAACACCCAACTGACACCCTCTGTATCTTCCGCATGGAACAATAACGCTGTTACCTTCAAATTGTCGTTCAAAATGACTGCCTTCAGTTTCGGTATACAGCCGTTTACTGTTTCTGCAAAACTTGAGTTCGGAGATAAGTCCACTGAGGTGCTGACTACACAGGATGCTACTGTCTATAAACGAGGTATTTTTGTGAAAACCTTCTGAAATTAGAATAAGCAAGTGCCGTAATGCACTGACGATTTGATACGAAGTTTGAGAGTTGTAGGCTCTGAGATATCCAATCTAGGATTCTTCCAAAAGCCAGTTTCTTGCCACATAAAACAATGTTTAAACTTTTATACATTTGCATTACATTCTATAAGTTTTAGTTGACGATCGTTTCCCTCAGAGCTGATGGAGGGTCTAGCTTCGAAGGTCATAATAACGGATGAAAGTGAAAAGTTCCAATGTAAAGCTACTGGTGAAGACAACACAGTATTCGCTATCAAGTGGTACTTAGGTAAGTCATTTCATTGTTCTACAATATTGCGAAAAAGAGAGACGTTCCTTGTATTTCCTTCAAACTTGCAACTGACATCAACTCAATCTAACACACACATAAAAATGTACACAGAAACATAAAATATCTAAAAAATGTTCACTGACTTACAATAACCAAACCTCGTAACCACAGATGGCAAGCTGTTGGATGACTCTCAAGATTACATGACGATCACAGAGGAACCACAAGGAAGGTCTATCCGAGTGAGCGCTCTCACTGTTGACAACACCCGCTCTGACTTTAACGGACTGCTGAAATGTTCTGTTAGCTGGCCCGAACCTGCTCCTTACACTGCTGAGTCTACTGCAGAGGTATAGGAACCACCCAGTCTACCTTGACATTATATTTATGTTACTAAGATGCTTATTGTAGCCTGTAATGATTCTGTTTTCATCATCCTGCCATTATGTACGATTTCCCAAGAGAAAACCAACTGCAACGGACAATTTTATACTCAATTTTGTATTTTTGAAATATTACGGCTAGTACGGTTATAACTGACCGTTGTGACTCATATAGCCCCCCCCCCCCCTCACATCCTGGTTCTAACCCCCTTGCTCCAGGTTACAGCTAGAGGAGCTTACATGGAAGACTACAGCTACTCTGACAGTAATGGTGATGGTGTGATGGTCTGTAACGCTTGGAATCCGGAAACTGTCTCAGTCACTTTCGCCTGGAAGAGATCGGATGGAACCGCTTTAGTGGCAGAGGCAAATAAGGTTTGTAGAATTGTTCATCGAGAATAATGCATTAATTTGGATCTCTATCAAGGAACTCGAAATTTAAAAAACTTCAAATAACAACGGTGATGAATTCCAATGGTGTTAAATTAACTTTCATAGTCATCGTATCAAACATATATTGTATGATAGTTTTAAATGCTAAACTCAAATCCATTTCTCTTCCAGATCACGATAACACCCGTAACCGAGGGAAGACTTCACACTAGTACAGTAAAATTACTGGGCATGACAAGTGAACAGAGTGGAGATTACCAGTGCGAAGTGAAGTTTGATGTTGAAGCTAGTCCTAAAATTTTCACAACCAAACTCCAACTTCTCGGTTAGTAGATTCTGTTAGTTTGTTTTAGAACATAATAATCCGACTGTTTACTGGCCTTGGGTAACGAGATGGAATCCGAACATTTATTTAATGTTGTTTATTTACTGATTAAAGAAAAATAAGCTAACTTGAAATTGTTCTGTAGCTGCAAGGATCGAACACTCTGGTCCCGACCACGACGACACAGCCTATATTGATATCGGTGCTGAACTTCTGATTACTTGTACTTACTCCGGAGACGAGGAACCCTCCATGATTGAATGGCTCAAGGTTCGTCCCTTACATTCTTTTCTTACATTCCTCTCTTACATTCCTGGGATCTTACTTCCATTTTTTATAGCTTCCTGTTAATTTACACAAATATAAACATTCTCTTCCAAACCAGGGAACTGCTCTGAAGGGAGATCTGCTAACTGATCAAGATGTCACCTACGAAATCACAACCAGTGACTACGATTCAAGCTCCAAGAGCAGGAAGAGTGTTTTGAAGTTAAAAAACGGAAATGTCCTCGAGTCAGGACTCTACACCTGCAAGTGGACAGTAGCCTTGGGAGCTCCAACTGCTATACTTAACGTCCGTGTCATGGGTTAGTTCGTAGAAAATACTTGAACAGCCAATAGTTTGGTTTTTATCAACTTTAAATCTTTCTTGTGAAGTTTTTCTGATCCTTGTAATACAAATCAACTGCTTCGTATAGCACATACTGTCACACTACGTCATGATTTTATTAATCCTAGGTTTGGACGTTACTGATGATGTTAAGGGCAAGACTTACGGTTTGGATGGATCACTAGTGGTTGCCTGTAAGTACAGTGGAATCGAACCTGGTACAATCTCGTGGCACAAAGACGCAACCACATTTGAAGCAGGCGACAAAATAGCGATGAGCAACGGAGAACTGTCGAACAACCATGCGACTTACACGCTCACAATTTCCGACGCAATTCCGGGATCAACTGACGGTCAGTACACGTGTAAGATGACGTACGATGACGGGTTCGAGAAGAGCACGGTACTCGAGGCTGTGGTGAGGACTGCTGCTGTGGTTGAGGGAGTGGATGATACTGTCGTGTCTCACGCTCTCGTCCTGGATGGGACACTTTCAATGAAGTGTATCTACAAGGGCGTGGCCCTGCCCAATGGTATTAGTTGGTTCTACGGAAGTGACGAGATAGATTTCAATGACCCTAGTCTCTCTCTTTCTAACTCAATGAAGAGCAGAGTCTCGGACCCTGTCCATATCTACCAGAGCTCCGTAAACTTGGGAATTAAAACCGTGGCTGATGAAGGGAAGTACAGTTGTAGGTTCCATCTGGATGACAGCCAGGACCCGACAGCAGAAGCAGAGATCAAGGTAGTCTCAGTTACAACACCTGATGTGTGCGTGTTCGTTGACTACGGAGCAGAAACTACGACGACTCTTACTTGTAGTTACAGTGGTTCCGCTGCAGCGCTCTCCTTCAAGAAAAAGTTCCCTGGGGGAACGGAGGTAGATGGAGAGTTGGGCGAGTTCAGTTCTAACAAACAGGTAGGATTCTGCAACAAGTTGCAAGTTTTAAAGCAGCAGAACCTTTTGTACTATTTACCTTACTCGGGATTATTATGACCGGGATAAAGTGGTGGGTTTAGGGTAATTTCGCCATATTTTTCCCGAACCACATTTTCACCGGTCGTTAATAAACCCGCCTACTCAGCTTTTAGGGTTCCCAAGGGGTATGGGTGCTCATATTTTAATCGTTGTCTTATATTCACTAAAGAAGACTATTGGGACACTTGTTGTAGGTTTTTCGACTTCATTTGGCTAAAATTGCAATAAATTCACCTTTTTGCCCAATTCTTGTCATATATCCTTATTGTCAAATTTGATTTAAATAGGCCAATTTTTAATTTCTTAGGTATTGACTATCTCTACATAATGAAATAGGACTCAAAGTAAAAGTAACAGTTAAATTAAAACTTGAATTAATTAAAACTGATGAAAGGGATGATCCAGATGAAGATAACGAAGATGATTACAACTTATTGGAAGACTAAACAGCTCTCCCTTTATCTTAATATCGATCTGGTTGTTACACTTCAAATGTTAAAAATTATTTTCCATCTAGTTTGATTAACCACGAGTCATTATTTCTGTCTACTTTCAACAATTATTGATAATTCGACTTGTTTCAGAAGTTTTAGCAATGCGAAAATTTCTAAACTTGCTTATCTCTAATAAGGAAATTTACATCTGAGACAAAATTTTTGAATCTAAAATTGAAAGGTTGGACACCGGTAAAATGGCGACCGGGAAAATGTGGTGGGTTTTGAGCAATTTCGCCATATTTTCCCCGAACCATATTTTAACCGGTCGTTAATAAACCCGTCGTAATAATCCCGAGTAAGGTAGATCATTTTATTCGTCCCGAGTTCGTTTTGAGCTTGCAAAATGAGCATTGATTAGTACTAGTAGTGAACATCTTTTCAAAGTCACGTTTGGTAACATACCTGAAATAAATCATTAACATATCAAATTTCAGACCGGAACATTTGAACTGATCGACATCACGGACGCTAAGGCGGGGACTTATGAGTGTGTCTTTGGTTTAGCTGATGATTTGAAGGCATCAACTGAGATTAAACTCTCAGCTCGAAGTACGTTTGGTCGAACTAATTTTAATATGGGCGAGCGCTTTATATTAGATAAACACTCAATTCACCACTGTAAAAAAACACAAAAATATAGCATTTCTTTGAACGACCAGTTTACTTAATTTTTTCCTTGGACATTTTACAAATAGCTTCATATTGATTTTGACATAATCTCACTAAAAGATGTATTACTTCAGAGGCAGAAGTATCAACATCGGTCGGAACTTCTAATCCGCGTCTTCTGGCAACATCCTCAGTAACAATAACGTGCACTGTCGCATCTGGTGCTAAAACAATCACATGGTGGGTTGAACAAACCGTCAGTGGTTGTTAAAATTACATGTTTGCGTGGTTGTATAATGTGCTCATAATTAATGCTCATAATTAAGTGCTCATAATTAATGCTCATAATTGATTCCGTGGATATGAATGGAGTAATCCCCTCAGGTACAAAGATGACTCTGAGTTTACCAACTACGAAGTCGTTGAAGAAAATAATGAGAAATCTGCGGTATCTTTCGACATAGAAGACAACAGCGGTGGTTCTTACACTTGCAAAGGTGTTTACTACAACGATGATTGTCCAACCCAGCACACCTTCACATCCCAGGAAATAAACCTGGAAGTGATCACAGACGTAGCCACAACCCAACCTAAGGACACCACGGTTACTGTGGGCGAGAAAGGTACCTTCGAGTGCGTGTTCCCAGATCCGTACGGAGAATCCAACGCACCAACTATCGAGTGGAGAGTGGGGAAACGGTTCTTGTTGGGTGATGATTTGTATAACGATGACGGAGAGGTTGTTATGGATGGATCTATTGAAAATGTTCGTAACCCTGGCACTTATTCAACTATTCTTACTATCGAAAAAGTCACCATTGAGTCTGCTGGAAAATACACCTGTTCTATCAAATGGGGCGGACTTTTCATTCACTCGGAACCAGCTACGCTAATTGTCCGAGCCATCACAACAGAACCGTCCACCGTTAATGTTCCTGAGGGAACCGATGCTAAATTGTCTTGTGTTGCCATATCGGACGCGGTCGCCACGATCACGTTCCACAAAACATCTGACGATTCTTCTGTAACTACAGTAGTGAGTACGGAAGACAGTGCAACAACCTCAACCACAACCATCACAACCACCGGGGTGTTAACTTTATCCGGTGTCACACCAAGCCACGCGGTGGATTACTATTGCAAAGCTACTTGGGGTGATCACAATGTGAAATCCTCAAACGTGCACCTGTCTGTTCTGAGTGTGGTTCAGAGTAACATGGCTGATTCCTGGGGATTGGATGGGAACTCGGTGATGCAGTACTGTTACTACGAGGATAAGATCATGGCAAGTAACACCAAAGCTTTTGAAGACGAGGATGGAAGAAGTGTATTTGCTGTGACTAGTGTCGCTTGGGAGATATATGCTGGTTCTTGGTCTGATATATCTGACAACAGCTTGTGAGTAAAATTTTCATGTGAACATCATTGGGATTTTGCTTTTTGTGGGAGTCTATAAGAATTTTTGATAGAAATTATATAGACATAAGAAAGTATGTTGTTTGTATTTCCCAAACAACTCTTCCATTTCTTTTTATTTGACTTTCAACCGTCTTAACCAAGTTTAACTTCCTTTTCAAGTTCACCACAGACTTTATTTTCTTCCATTTCACGATCTCAGTCGCGTCGTCAAGTTCACTTCTGTTTTCACCAGGATAACAGCTGGAACCACTTTCCGAGAAAACGGTCTAAACGTAGCCGTGGTCAACATCGGACCTCTTGCTTCAGACGCGCCAGACCATTCAGTGAGGTGCAAAGTAACATACACCGCCGATCCGAACCACCATCTCGAAGGAGGTGTTATCACCTCCAGCTCCGTAAAAGTCAAAGTAATACACGTCACCTCGTTCGTGGTGCCCTCTAGCATTGCAGTGACAGGAGACACAGTCACTTTGTCGTGCAGTGCAACTGGAGAAACTCAACCAACCTTCAAGTTCACTGCGGAGGGTTCACCTTTCTCAGCGGAATACTACACGGAAGTAGCTGCCGCATCCTCTGTTGTTGATGGGGGAGATGGGAATGTGTGGAATTCTGAGTACAAGTTCTCAGTGAAGGCTCCTAACATGATTGTTAACGGAGAAACTGTCGCTTGTGAGGTAGAAACACCAACTATTTCGCTCAAAAGCCCTTTGCTATTATATTCCCGATATTTAATTTAAACGATTGGTTTGGTTCGCACCTTTCATTATTTTATTATACTAATATTATATGTTTGTAGGCGATGCCTCCCCTAAATAAATGTATTGTCCAGGCTGAGTTTACAGCAGGAACAGTTAATAGTGAGGACAAAGAACTGAAAACATATTACAGTTGTGGCGGTGCCGAATCTAAGGCTAAGATTACGTTACTGAAAGGTTAGGGTGATTTGTTTATCAAGATAAAACAATGAATTTAATATTGAACATGATTCGACGTATCGATATTTGCAAGTTTTGCTAGAATTGTCTGATGGTTTAGAGTCTTAACATTGGTAATTCTCCTCAGATACACTTGCAACAATATCTTACGGGTCGGTAGAAAGTGACGGCAGTTTGACGGCATCTACCGTATGTAATGCCAACACGGCGTCAGAGAAATACACCAAAGCAAGTATGTTGTATCTTTGTACTAGTTACCTGGCCAATTATGTTCGATTGTGCGACATCTGTCCGACAGCGACATCTGTCCGACAGCCGGACAGATCATATCTCAAATTGGAAATGTGTCGTATTGAAATCAGATGATAATTTGGGACAGAGGTCGTTTATTTCTGGTACCCTGTGTCGGACAGATGTCGCTGTCGGACAGGAGTCGTGTTACCATTATGTTCAGTGAAGAGTGATCTTTGAAGAGCGATTTTTTCTCGGCTATTCACTCCATCATTTAGTTGATCTGAATGATTTAATGATATTATATTCATTAAAGTGCCGATTAATCAAACTTATCGCACGTTCCTTCTCAGCTGAGACCGTTAACTCCGCATCTGAATCAAAATGCAGTAAAGACACAGGGTTCTGGACCCCTCCCTTTCTGTCCCCCTGTCTCCAAATAGTCGCCTTCTCAAAAGCTAAAGTTGAGCAGATCTACGATCTTAATACTTGGGTCGATAGCTCCGGGAAATACGAGGTATATTTCGGGGATGTTCTTGTTATTTGTATCGTAGATTCAGCAGGAGTTTTCTTTGAGTGAAATTTTTCCGTGAATTTTTTAGATGAAAACGATTGTTCTCGATGTTGTTAAAATAAATCAACTAATCACTTGTTCTTTTGTTAGTATTATCAATTGACGATCGTTTTGTCATAATCTCAAATTAAAACAAGTTTATTAACTCAGTTGTGTAATAACGATGCAGAAGCAGAGCTCACAGAAGCTAAGATAATAGAGTACATAACCAGTACTACTAACGCTGACTGCGGGGCCCGACATGTTATTCCTTGCCTCAAGGCAGCTGATGGTATTTTTACTGTTCATCGTGCATTTTTACTGACCAAATCCTTAATCTATACCTGTTATTTTCGTCCAAACGATATTTCATGGCCTTTGCCGAGGATCATACCGCAGTTGCGGTAAACAGACCTGGTATCCCTTGCCAGTGTACTCTAATTAAACCACAGCGTATTAGCTCCCGCACTGTGGATTAGAACCACGTTTCTAGATTTATCATTAAAGTTTGTGCGATTTGACCACCCGTTCACATTTTCGTCTTATTTTCAGGAAGTTGTAGTGTTAAAACTGGAGCTGATTTAAACGGATGTGCTTGGGACAAAACTACTAAAATTCTATCTGTATTTGTAACAATTGAGTTTACCCCCGAAGTAGAGACAATTCAGGAAAAGACGGGCTCAGTCACTATACCGGCCGGCGATAAATTACGATTCTATGATTGTGTATCCAGTACAAACAAGCGCAGTGTGTTAATTGAGATTCTTGACCGGGGTCCAGTTGATACCACCCTCGTTATAACCAATACCACTGTCATTGATGAAGATTTTCCTGATTTCGGTATGCTTTATTCGATTATATTCGCCTTTTTTAAGTATTATTTTCTATACCAGAAGAAGAAGAAATAGATAGCTATAAAAGTTTCTCGACACTACTATATGATTGTTCTTATTATGACATTTTCGAATTTCTGATTTGATTAAAATCCCTTAATTCTAATAATTTTTAACATGACTTGATTGTAAATAATAACAATTTGATACGACTATTCTTCAGATATAATGGATAGGTCAAGCGATGAAACAGCCAAGTTAAGATTGCTACTCACCGTAGGGGGTGTATGCGTTGCAGCGCTTATTATAATAGCAGTCACTCTAATTGTCAGAAGGTAAAATTAATTGATTCTTAATAAATTACCAAATCAACTTTGAAATCATTATTAGACTAATTGAAAGTGATCAAGCAGAAAATTTGAGCGGTTGTACATCTCGTTTCAGTGGCTGAGTAATATAACTCAGCTCACTTGGATGGGGTGACGTTCTCAGAAAATGTTAGTCATACAAATTTTATAATTCACAATTAAATCTCAGGAGGACAGTAAATAAAAGAAAGACGTTGAAAGTCGAGGTCTTCCCCGGTAGATTGGTGATATCAGACGCATAATAAACAGTTATATTAGTAATAATTCTAATATTAGTTATTATATCAGAACGAGATTTACCTTTCTTAAAGTACTAATTTTTAAATGCTTTTGGTTATTTAAAGTGTACATCTTGTATCAAGTTAAGTTCTCGCATTGTGTACATACCAACATCGAATATCTGTTGTCATGGGAATGCGTCTACTAAGCGAGATTCTTTCATTTTAGAGATATTCACCTTAGGAGACATATTTTTACGGCCTGAAATTTGGGCCTTTTCGACCCTCGCTTCATACTTTTCTGATGTCATTTTCAAATCTTCACATATAATATCCCCCAAATTTCGTGACCCGCATTTCCAACATGATTATGTCTCCTGAGGTTTTATACATATGGTGATTGTCAATTCTTATTACTGCTGTCAGTGTCTGCTGGGATATTGATCACACGTGACCACAAAAACCCTGCTTTGACGCATTTTATCCTTAATTTTGAACGTTTTTAAAGTGTTTATGCTGCAGTCAGCAGTGAGATGTATGTTGATGAAAAATCGACTTTTTGATACGCGCCAGTAGTAATAGTATAGTTAGAAATCTATCTATGAGGTAAGTTCTTCATAGTTTCCTGTTCAAGGAATCCATCTTCTATTCACAGATCACGCATAATTGTAATACACTTGATATGAACAAGTGACGTCTTGTAAAATGCTTTATATTTTGTAATTAAAAGTAAAAATGAGAATTAAGACAAGTTAAACGACAAAATTATCTTTATCAATGAGTCTTCTGAATGGTAACATCTTCAGTGGCTTTATTAAATCTTTTTGAGACTAGTTTTTAGTGGTTCTACTAATGAAATTTTGTAAAACTAATAAATTGTGATAAATGTTTATTTAACTAATTGTCGTTTTGAATTTTGAAACACAAATACATGTTTTCTTTTGTCCGGTTTCAGGTCTGATGATGTATGATCCTGTTATATCAGTATGCCTGTGTGAAAATGTATCAGAAATGAGTAAATTAAATAGTTGTATCAGTATGTACTAATGTTAATTGACGATGTCAATTCATCGCAGCTCGGCTCGGCACAGTAACACTAACGCATCGCGCTACAAGTACTAATGTATTAATAGTACTATTTATAATATTATATAATCAGTGCAATGTACGTGTAAAATGGACGGAAAATGCCCCATTTCCGCTCAAAATGCTTATAACTTCAATTCCGAGCGTGCTAAATCAGTCGTTCAGGGCCAGCTGGAGAACGGTTGAAAAAGTCACGTGACAGTTGATTCACGATTTGATTGACGATGTCAATCCGTCGAGATCGTTGCTCTGCGAAGCAGAGCAACGATCGTCGAAGCAAGAATGCTAGTTCGCGCGGCGCGTCGAAGCGGCGAAGTCCTCCAAATTCACGATGTCAATCCTTCGCATCTCGCCAATCTGCATAGAGTGTTACCTGGGGACCTCAGGCTATCAAGTTCATTAACATTGCATTAAAGATTCGGCGGAATGACAGGCTGAGCGCGGCCCAGTAACATAAAGTGTATTACCTGGGGACCTCAGGCTATTATGTTCATAATAGAGATTAGGCGGCATGACAGGCTGAGCGCGGCCCAGTAAAGAGTGTAGAGTGATTAATCATCATCCTGTTTATGGACTAACTCGGAGCGTTTGCTATTTTTATTCTTTATATGCAGCATTTGCCTCAGGTCATTGATATTTTGAAAAATTGAAAGTGCGCGTTTCTTCGCAAAATTTATACGATAGAGTATCATCCGTTCACGCATGATTCATCGACGCTGTTATTTTGACGGATTTTTTTTTTTTTTAATGTTGGGGCACCCACTTTACCTCCCTATTGGGAGGCTACGTCCGTCATTAGTGACTAACGTCTATTGGGGTTCCTCTGGTTGTAGGTGTCAGTAGGTTTGGGTCACTTGGCATGGGCTAGTGATCCCGCCCCTCCAGAGGATAAAGCCTGGTGAGCGACGTTTCCCGTAAGGGAAACTGTCATAATGCTCGTTCACGGGAGAACACCACCCATGCCTAGATGTTCTCCCGGGTACTCGATAGAACAGGCTGCCCCCTGTCATTCTAGTGGGCTGACAGGAACCTACCAGGCATGCCTGAGCCTTTGATGGAATATACCCATCTCCTTTGTTATTTTGTATTAATTCTTTGTTTTTGCGCGGCTCAATTTCCGCGCTTATATACTAAAGTGCTGACTCACGAATTTGCATCCGATATTTGCATTTTGAGTAGACCCTTTTGCTGTCGCAATTTGGCAATTTCTTTGTTCACGTAATTATTGCTAATTTTACGTTTGCTGGAAATAATCTAGGTGCTATATCTCCAATAGCTGGCATTTTGTCTGATTGTTAGATCCCCTCTAACTGGTAGCGGCCCTAAGGCTGGCAGTTTGTCTGATTGTTAGATCCCCTCTAACTGGTAGCGGCCCTAAGGCGGCATGTGAGTGAATGAGTGAGTAAAAAAGTGAGGTGTAGGAGAAGTGGGGAAGAAAACATGATTATGAAGTATGGTACACTGTTGCCAGCTGACTCACCAGCAACAATGCAAATCCAAGAAGAAAGAAGGAGAGACACCGTCCGTTATCTGGGTGAGCCACCACAGACAGTGCTCCCACTTCTGTGGGGCTGAGGGTGTTGGCTCCAAGAACCAGCCGTGAGCGAACAGCGCCTGACCCCCTCTATGGTTAACTTGAGAATAACAGGACTATGCCTTTCTCCAGGCCAATCCGTTCAGTAACCAGCTGACCCTGCACCACCTCTGATGGAAGATGTGGTTCGGATTGGACTTCGCTAGGATTTGTCAGTTTTTCTGTAGACACTAATGCTCCCTCGAGGAAAGACATGAGCCCCGGCGAAGCTGACCAAAAACGTGGCAGGGATTCTCACCCTACTTCGAAGTAGCGCGCGCCGCCGCGCTTTCTTCTCGAAATGTTAGCCGACGGCACGAGCTTCGAAGTAGCGCGCGCCGGGCCAAATCATTAACAATGGTCAAGCTGTTATTATAATCATATCGCGATAATATTTTATAAAAATACTGTACGGGTACGGTATCATTTGTTGACTTTGGTTAAAAGTAAAAAGGTGCACGATAAAATTTAAGGGGTGATACTCGTAAAATATTTGTTTCAAATATTTCGTTGTAGGTTTACAATTTACCAAGACGCACGCCGAGAATTGGACTGATCGTCGATGGAACAAATATTTTACGAGTATCAACCGTTAAATATATCGGCGAGTCCAACTGTATAACTCAGCGCGCGTCCTGGTAGGTTATCACAATGCTGGCAAGCATTACCGTCGCCCTTATATTCACAATACTATTTACCCCCTATACTATAAACTATTATATCCCCTTTATTGATTTCCATGCATTAAGACTCATCGAAAGTAGATCAGCAGGTACATTTAAGTTCAAAACATTCTAATTCAATGTTAAAGATGACAGGAATACGAAATAGTTATATGGAGGTTTTTAAGAAATTTGCGCAAAATACGCGCCAGCATGTTATACGAAATTAGGTAAAAAACCCAAAATCGCCATATTCAGGTGCCTTAAAAACCATGTTAAAATTGAGTTAGAGATCTGAAACTTTGCAGGGCGTCTAGACCTTGTCTAGATCGACTGTAAAAAATTTCATGTTTCAGGAGTATCGTGAAGTGGGTTTTCTGGAACCCCTGTTTTACAACAGATTGTCGTGAAGATATATATATAATATAGACGCTTTTTGCAGTCAATTGTAGCCTACATTTAAGTGTCCGTAGATTCGAAAGTATAAACGATACAGTCATCTCGAACCACAGGTTTTAAAGATAATCGTTTAAGCTTTAGTTTACATTGTATTGAAAAATAATTTAACGTCATCATCATCACTTGATGACGTCATCAAATTAAGTGTTTTAAAAACTTGATTTTTGACAAAGTAACAACTTTTCAAATCGATTTTACGCTATTAAGGAGTAATTTTATTCAAAATCTGAGGACATTTTTACCTTAGATAATTGTTCAAGCATTCCGAAAATCTACCGGAATAGTTTCCTACCTTGCTCCTTCATAAAGATATTTGCAATTGAAGTTAGTGCTTTTTTGAAGAATAATTTTATAAAAACACAAAAGTTGTGAATTAGTATTCTCTGGTGTTGGGTCATCCCTTGGGTTGTGGAGCTCAATTTTGCTTCTTAAAGGTCTAAATTGTGTTATAGGCTAGTTTTAAAGTTAAAAATCGAAAAGTTGCACACGTGGGGACATGCCCAAATTTATTTAAAATAGCTAAAATCACTAAAATTTTTGATTTTCACGATTTTTATCAACTTTGGAGTCCTGTTGTGATCCAAGTTCTTCTTGAAATCTTCTGAAACTTTGCATGCTTATCAAACTATATATTAAATACCACTATGCAAAAATTTACGGTGATTCAATATTGTATGCGCACGCAACGTCCGCTCAAAGTTTGCACGTGCGAAAGGTGAGAATTTTGCTCATTCGTGATTTCGAATATATTCTGCTTTCCACGATATTTAAATGGCATTATATATGAATTTAATGCCAACTTGAATGAGTAAAAAGTGCCATATTCAGTCGGTTATCGACAGATATACCTAACTAAACACAAGGAAACGTTTTCAAAGGCAGAATTTCGAAATCGTCGGAATTACCTCCTTGTTAATGAAGTTTCGATTGTGTAAATTATCCTGACATTATAATCAAAAAGAGATGATATTTGACCAAAACCCATAATCATGGGTAGAGTGTACTGCTGCCAGTGTCTCTCTTTTCCAAACAAAAGGAAGTGATATTAATTTGAGGAACCGTCCGCTAATGCAAATTGATACCGAGAATGAAATCGGTCGCTCGCTTTTCCCATTTAATAAGCTTTATTACAATTCGTAAGCCGTGAATGAATGGGAAAAGCGAGCGACCGATTTCATTCTCGGTATCAATTTGCATTAGCGGACGGTTCCTCAAATTAATATCATTTCCTTTTGTTTGGAAAAGAGAGACACTGGCAGCGGTACACTCTACCCATGATTATGGGTTTTGGTCAAATAAACCTATAAAATTTTTGATACATAGTTACGTATCGGCGGCGTATCGGCCTTCGGCGGCGCGAAAAGTAGCATGCAACGTATGTCAACAAAATTTAATTTGCTTGCATTTTTAAAATTTTTGTGCCATTCATGTTTTTATCATGATCACAGATCAAAATATCAAATTTTTCACAAAACTGATTTGCTTCATACCTTTTGGGAATGATTATTGAGTTTCGCCTTGGTGCTTCACCTAACCATTTGCTTTTGTGCCACTGCGGGCGAGCTTGTATCACAAGCGCCACTGCAAACGCAAGGGCAACCTTGGTGCCATATTTAATGACGCGCGGCTTTTGTGTTTTGGAGCTACAGTTACCTGGGACGGGGACCTCAGGCTATTATATTTATGTTCATAATCATAAATGATAGAGATTCGGTGGAATGTCAGGCTGAGCGCGGCCCAGTAAAGCTATAGTAAATGTAAAAGTCACGTAGTTTGATGAAATTCATTAATTGTCGTCGTATTATTCCGTCATATCTGATATTTTCAGTTTTTGGAATGTGGTCGGTTTGAAAATTTATAAAAACCTTCCATTGGAATTTACGAAAAACTTGGTAGATTATAAATATTGGATTTTATTTAGCTGATATAATAAAATAATAGCTAGCGATGAAAATGCTGTCCATATTGTTAATGGAATAACCAGTAACCCGGCGTGCGCTACTTTCTTGCCGGTAGCACTTTACTTGCCTCGTAGCACTTAAACTTTTCTTTTGATCCTAATATGAGTCTTGTCTCTAAAAACTTAACTGAGCTAGCGTTTTGGTGTGTGCAAAAGCTTTCAGGCACGCACATTCCTTGCCCTGTTAGTTACCTGTCCCTTCAAAATCAAACGAACAGTCAAGGACAAAAAGTCATACACCAAATGAGCATTATATTTCTATGAATTGTTTTACTCAGAACCTGTATAATCTCTATCGGTGGTTACAGAGGTGCCAGTACTCTTCCACCCACAGCGATAAGTGATTTGGACCTTAACCAGATCAACACTCCTGCTTGTTGTTGTGATGTGAATTTGTGGATTTTTATTTTTAGTTGACCATTTATATATATATTACAAACGGTTTTATTTTTTACCCTGGTTTTTAGATTTTTACCATTTTTATAACATATAATTTATTAGTTATTAGAATATATATTCGCATATATCCACACTATTTACATTACACGTACAACGTGATATTATTATCAGTGCAGTGTGTACAACACCAACTACACCAATCAATTGCCAATCTGCGAAACATTTATTTATTATTATCACTTCGAGATGGCCTACTCTCATGCTGTCTATAGGTGAGCAAGGGACGCAAAATGTCGAGGTTCTGGGATCATTCCCCAGTTGTCCCCAGTTTTTCAGAGTTAATCATCTCCTATACACAGCATGAGAGCTACATGAACTTATAGCTAGACAATTACCATTGTTGAAATTATCTGTATATTTTTCGAAACATTTTCCATTAAGTGCAGTAGCTCATCTGCATAATATTTGCATAAATGCAAGGTCTTTCATTGCTGTAAAGCTTTTTGTGTTGTATGGTGCATTACTTGTTGGAACAGGCCTTTACTTATCACTTCAATCACTACCACTGAAGTAAACGCATGTCAAATGATGGTTAGTCTAGTGTGATACACTTGTTCTACTTGATGAATTGATATCAAAACTCACAGGTTGATTCACATGTAGTCTGGAACAATTTTAAAAATATATTTAGAATATTCTGATCGTGTTAAATTATATTAAAATATATCCCCAGGGTCAAATCGCCAAATTATACAACACACAGTCACAATTTCTTATCAGATTTGATATTTTAAGCATTAATTGTTTCACACTAAGTGATTTCATTAAAATTGAAATAAATCATAGATTTTCATTATTTTTCCATGAAATTTTGCATTTTAACCTTATTGTGGAAGTAATTTTTGATTTAGACCTCCAACAAATCAAGATATAGGTATATTAAATAATATTAAAGTATATCTCTGGGGTCGAAGACACAAAATATACATACACTTTAATATACTTTAATATGGTCACCCCAAATTTGGCAGCATTACTTATATCATCATTTCTTTAAGATGGTAATATAAATATTCAAACTTACAATGACAATCGACAATGTACTGATGATGGGTATAAAGTATATACCTTGGTAGTAAATATCACACTTTTGCTTGTCATGAGGAGGGTCAATTCAATGAATTGGGCTCCTTTTCATTGCTCAATGAATGCTCACAGTTGTTTAGTCTTTTCAAAACTTGGATAATTATTGTTCGTGTTGGAATTTCTGAATATCAATAAAAAATTTGACACTTATACCATTAAATTAATTTTGCATTCCATGTGCCAAGAATCCAAAGAATTTGTCAGCATTTATTCCTTATGCATTTGACTATCATATGTATATTGCATCAAACAATTTCTACGAAATGTTTTTGAAATATTTATAATGATGTGTGATACTGATGGTGTTTTGTGTCATTATTATTTGATTTGATTTGATTTTGTGTTATGTAAATTCTATTGACCTATTGGTTTTTCTGTATCCGCTGTTTTCTAATTATGAATACTTTAGCTGAGAAGTGAAAGATCATGTATATTAGAAGTTGAAAGTAGAAAGTTGTTGATGATCAAGCTCTACTTAGATAGCTCTACTATTGATGTTTGAAAAACTAACGACCTTATTCACCACCAATGAGGTAAAATGATATTTATGGTAAAAAAGATTTCATTCTTCAAACTCCAACCAATTAAAACACTTTCTTTTGATTGCATTGAATATAAACAAGTACTCAACAAAGAGGTACAGTATATTTGTAAAAGTGTGTCTTACATTATTTTACATTAAATGTTGAAAAGAAAATACATGTCCAAATGTAAAGCAGTTGTTTAATAATTGTTCTCCCTTATTATTTAAATGCTAAATCGGTATAGTATCAAAAATCTGCATCAAATTGTAGTAACAGTTTGTTTTCACTTGTCCCAACGAACAACAGGCACATAACCATCAATCTTTGTCCTGTACAAACACAAGACTGTCACAGAGTTACCACTGAGTTTCATTCCACATCCTGTCTCCGCTGCACCGTCTCGGACAGAGATCTGGGAATTATCACTTGGTTATCAAGCTGACAAGTCGACCCACAATATAATAATGCATTTTACGGTAAAATTTTTACCTCAATTGCTTCTTGAACTTAACTCTGGATTTTTTCTAGCCTCGTTTGGTGTATTCGATTTTATGCTCATTGACAAAGTGCTTGCAACTTACCTCTCGTATTTTATCGTATTTCAGATATCTGAAATCCTTGCAGACATAGGAAGAAGGCTGGTTATTTGTCCCATGAACTTTGTATACAACTGCTTCTAATCTGGTGTATTATTAATTATGTTATTGTGACAATTTGCCACATCATAGGTTCAATAATTTCAAGTTTTACTTTTTGAGTTGTTTAAAAACCCGTGTAAGTGTAACGTACCCGTCAAACTTCCCTTTCCAGTTCTTGCTGTAGTAACTAACATGAATCCATTTGTTCAAGTTCTGCTGTACCTTAGCAGCTAGTTCATCACTCCATCTGGGTAGAGACTAGTTAACTTGTTGTTTTGTATTTTTGCCAAATCGTACAAATTCCTCGTTGGTGTGAAATTTCTCTTCTAGAACTGCACTTAATGCTTTGTAACCCTTAGCCTCCCCACTCCTAGCAACATATTATATGACCTCAACCTTTCAACATCTCACGTCAAATAAGCTCCCTCTGAAAAACCTCCCTCCCTGCCCGTGTCAAAACATGAGTTCACCACTACAATAATTAGTGCTTCGTAATCATAGTTGTCAATGATATTTGGAATGTAAGAGTAAGACTTAGTAAGAGACAGTTCAGACTTCCGGAAGATTTCTCCTAAAAATTAAGATGTACCATTTGCAATTCTATAATTCGGAATCCTATTTTTAGGAATTTCTGAAGTGCAATTTCCAAAGCAATGATATTCCTGGAAGGGGTTATCACACAATGAACCTTCCAAACAGCCTTATCTCCCTGCACGTGTCATACACGTGTCACGCACGTGTCATGTTCCCTGCACGTGTCATGGGTTCACCGGTACACTGTACCAGAATCAGGTACAATGTACCAGTGAACTCACAGTTATGATAGTTAATAGTGTACCTGATGTGCCATGTTCCCTTGTGCTCTGTACGTAGGCACTCCTGGATGTCAGCTGCACTAACAGCACCGTCTCCTTCCTCGTAAGTGTCCAGCTCGTCGTAACTGTCTAACTCGTCTTGTCCTGGGAGTGGTATTTCGTAGAGTTATTTATTAGAGTTATTAGAGTTTTCTGAGGAAATTTCAAATTGAAATTTTGAATTCGATTGTTTCGGGAGTATAGCTACCAATGTAATAATAGTGCTGAAGACTAGATGATATCAAACATAATGAAACCATCATCCTCATGATAGGTTGGTGACAATATTAGCAGTGAACTGTGACTACAGGACTTTACCATAGTCTACCATTTCCAATCACTATCCATTGTTCTCCAATAATGAGCTACCTTCATCTCCAATAAACGATTAATTACACCTTCAATTATACCATCACGTCAACCTAAGAACTGTGTATATAACACTGGTACGTTACATTGGAGATGGCTCTCTCGTGTTACATGGCACTATGTCACATTGTAATATTCAGCTATGTGGTGTCTCAGTGTGTGAGTGTGTGATATTGTGTGATATTGTGTGAGTGTGTCACGTGATAAAGGTGTCGATGAGCTAAAATTCACACTCTTGTATCACTAAGCACAAATACTCCTGTGTAAATCATATATAGTAAGGTATGTTGATTTGTAACAGGAAAAACGTGTGCTTTGGTATACCTGAAGAATCAGTAAAAATGTCAGGTATTTACGTTATGCCTACTCTGTTAGTAGCTCGGTCGGTGGTTTGGAGATTAGTTTATATATATATAATGATACACAGTGTAGAGCCTAACAAATTAGTTGAGATATATAGAGCCTAACTATGTGAAAATGAGGGAACAACTGTGTTACTAACTTTAACTGAGTCCTACCTACTTTTACTGTGTAATATGAGAATTAAAGATGTCTAAGTATGATATTAGTGATAATAGCACTGCATTTAACACTACAGCAAGTTCTGAATAGCAACAGATTATTGACTTGAGACTTCTAGATTTGGACTGACCAAGTAAAATATCTTCTCGTGATATAACCCAAATAATTAGCGTTATAATTAGCGCTATAATTATTTGGATGATATCATGAAAAGGCAGAAGGACAATACGTTACGAGTTACAGCCTGTCTTTCAAAACTATCTGACCATGACGATTATCGTATTACTTAATACCCCAGCTCCTTAGATAGTTTACATCAGAACGCATTTCTGGGCACTACTAGTTACTACTATGGTTTTGTATTACTTATGAGTTGTTTAATATCTCCTGACTATAGTTAGTTAATTAGTACTACAGTGGGACGCTATGCTAATTACGAGCTCGAGCGGAAATTCCAGTAACTGTAGTCTACAGACTGTAGACACAAGATACTCTTGACATCTGAATTTAGAAGTTGACGGAACTATTCTAATTTATTAGGGTTAGCAGCTATGAAGGTGTATTATGAATGACATTATAATAGATATGATGATAATGATTGATAATTTAAATTTTCTTTAAAATCTCAAACCTTGAGCAGAAGTAGCGAGTAGTAGGCAACACTCAGAGAAGAGTAAAACCAAGATCAGATCTCTCGAGAACATGTTACTCCAAGTCTCCAACCCCAATATCGAGTCAACAGAAAAGAGAGAGAGAGAGGGAAAGAGAGGGACGCTGTACTTCTAAATGCACCTGCTAAACTGAAGCAATGAGAGATCCATCTGTCCCCTTTTTCTTGTAAATCTTATAATCGCTGACACGTGTTTTTGAGGTAATTGTGCCTGGTATTTGATATAGAGACAAAAAGCTAACTCAGTAAAGTAACTACCTCTCCAGTCTACCATCCACAGCTGAAGACCATTAACACTATTTGAAAGTTTCTAAAACAGCACCCTGCCGAGTGCCGTATGACGTATCAATATAACTCCAGCCCCCCCCCCCCCCCCCCACCCCCACTCCCCTTTAGTTGCAAAGGTTTTCTAGTTTAGGTTATTACAGGTTTACCGGTGTTTGGCTCGACTCATTTGTTATAATAGCTTACCTTCGGTCTTTGATTTCATGGTCATGTACGTCACCAAAGATACCGTAATTTTAATTTAAGTAAACGTTAGTGCGATTCTGTAATAAGTGGGTCTGTTAATTTTATGGTCTCTGCACTTGTAAGTAATGCAATTAATTTTTGACATCAGCTATTCGTTAAGAAGTAATTCTCGCTTCACTGATTTTTTTCATAATCTGAATCTGGAAGATTTACTTCGTTGACAGAAAAAAGAAGGGTTTTTTGGCATTTACAATTTGAAAAATGTATCTACTGCATACTATAGGAGCTCCCTCCGGAGAGGGTGAGGGTGGTAGGTAAACATAAGGTCACAATTCTCTAAACATCGTGTAAACGAATGCACGTGAACATTATCAGGTGGCAGACATTTGAAGTAAAGCCAAACCGAGCTTTCTGAACATTAGCTGAGTATGATACAGGAAGTTAATTTGGTTTTATTCACCGCAACTCCATAAACTTACTTCTACTTTTTGACCCTCAATACTTGCGGATTTATACTTTTGCAGTCTCTAATGTTTCCCAATATTTGCAGATGTTTAATTGGTTTGGGAGAGTATGTTTAAACTTTTGGGGTTTTAAACACTGCGCCACTATGTTAACCAGTCATATACTGGAGACTTATGTACAATATAAATCCTACTAGAAATCCCAGAATAAAGGGCTGCTCACCTGGTCAGAAAATAGAATAGCACAAGTCATATTTAATAGCAACAGTCATATCATGTTAAATACTTATATTAAATCAAAAGGTTATTGGTGTATTAGTTTTACTTGACAATTATTCCCCAATAATTGGCAAGTAAGCTACTACCCGTTTACAATATCTGTAAAAGCTGGAATGTCTTAAGAGTGACCGCTCACCTCGTTTGCAATGAACTGAAACATGATAACTATTCACGTTGTGTGGACTATTCACGTTCTGTTGTCCTTTTTTACATCTGACGGTAACCACGATATTGCAAGGAGAAGAGCTTGGAAGACTTTTGATTCTGCAAACTTTAACTGTCGTATAACCATCTAAAACAAATAATTAAATAATTAAGTGTCAACAAACATATTATAGACGAAGTTGAGGAATTCGAAACTAAATCTTTTGGAAAAGAACACAACTTGCAAATTGAGGCTGGTTCTGTGTCGAATTCCATGAATATAACGTGCGTGACACATATTTCACTGAATGCTTGATTTTTGGTTATTCAGCAAGAAATATTCTTGGAATTATCCTTTCCATTGTAATAAAACTAAATATGTTATGTCGACCCTGTTTTGTTTTGTGTAAGTGTGTAGCTACATTATACTTGTATTTGTTTGTATTCTCTTGAAAGTCACACTGTGAGCTGATGTCTATTATATACGTCCTAAGTAATTTAAACAGGAATGATGCCCAATGTAGTTCTGAAGCTAACAATGCCCGCCTTGCTAAGCGTGCAACTTATACTCCTATCGACAGTCTAGAGGTAAAGAGATAATCTAGTAGTATCTAGAGTTTGTTAATTGTTCATTACTAATACCTACCTTCAGGAGGTGAAGAGAATGTAGTAATTGCAGATGACCTCCTGTTAAAACTGATCCTAGATAATTCCTCCTCACTTCTATATGTAATTATAGTCACTCCTTCACAATCTTCTACTATTTCCTTTAACTGCTTACATACGCCTCCTCTCCAGCAGCCTGGTGTCGCATCGTGCATAGGTCGTATCGTGCAAGAGGTTTCTTCAGAGGTCCAAAATTCTGATGTACACATATCGTTTAGATAATATTAATACGAAGTGGTACTGTGAACCTTGTTGGTTCACAATTTATGATTGTACATTGAAATGTAAAGCGTTTGAGAGGCATATCAGAGCAAACAATCAAGATAAACTTTGAATGTATTTGTATATAATTTGGCTCATCTGACAAAGTGGTGATCAGTGATTGGAACATTAAATTAATTTCTAACCTGGATCAGCTATTATCGTTACTATCAGAATGGTCAGATACAACAGCACCATCATTTGTAAGACTGGCTGTTGAAACTGGAAACAACTTATGGTCGTTTTTATATTTTACGTCAGTAAACAAGCGAGGAACTGCGAATGGGATTATTCACAACAAGAAATAAAGTCTTAGATTTTTTTACTGGTACGTTTTTTATAAAATTATAGTGCTCAGTCGTTCGTATGTTTGACGAGGTAATTTTGTAATTTTGTCTGGTAAAATAGTTTAATCGATCCTTGACCTCTGCAAGGTGACAATCTCCGTAATCATTAGTATTGAACTTTTGCACTATGTGTTAGTAAAAGCCGGGAATGAGATTTACGATCGTAACTTGTCATTGGCCATCTTGCTGTTCTTCGGTATTTTTACTTTAATCATAGTATATATTATATACATGATATAAGAAGAGAAAAGAAAAATATATATAAGCTCTCAATGATGCCTGAAAGATAGCTGTTCTGACCAGACAAATCGGCCGTTTTTGCTCGAATTTATCCTCCATAACTTATAATGTCATTGGTAAAAGTGGCCCATCCAAATAATCGAGAGGAAAATTAGAACTTTCGTTCACTGCTGCAGGTGGGGTACCTATGGTTAAAATCTTAAAAGTGGGTCATGAAGATTCTTAAATTGTGGGCCACATCTGGCACACCACCATAATTTCTTAACCACATACCAACTATATTATAAAGTTTAAATTGTGAGGTATGTATGCTGCAGTATTGAAACGCTAGCTAATAAAAAGAAATTTATCAAGATCATGAAACAATCCACATACCACACATTCTTCATCATTTCATAAAATCAACACTCAAATGGCCAGCTTCAGCTTAATTAAATTACAAGAAACATCTAAATATCACAGTGCTTTGTTCTGCTCCTCTGTACTTAGCTCTACATTAGAGTCTCTCCAGAAAGTACACATTTCTTTTGTTAAGACCATCCCTTTTGTGTAGTTACATAGTTCAGAATATAAACAACAAAAACAATACATTGTACATACTAATAGTGTGTTTGAGTGTAAACTGTGTGTATGTTGAGGCATAAGAGAGAGAGAGCAAAGCAATCCCACTCTCTGTGTATATTGTTCATATTTACAATGTTTGTATCCGGAACTTGTTATAATGCTTGTTTTAATTACAATTAATTTGTTCCTTGTTTGTTTTGTAGTAAACTATGAAAATAAAGCTATGGAATGTGCGTACTTGGCATCCATTCAAAAATAGATAATCAGTTTGACAATACATTAAAAAGCGATACAATATTAATTCCCAGGGGTCAAGCATATAATCAAATTAAAGATGCAGTGCTCCCAAAATTAGTATTCTACATATTTACAGTACTTTATTTTCAGGATCAATTTACCAGAACGCAGAACCAGTTCGTAGAGCAATGGAACAACGTTGTGGAATGTCTGTCTTCGCGCACAGGTTACTAATTGTCAGGGGCGATGCACTTGTCTTCAACAACCCTGCTGTTTTCTGACAAATGTACTACTACTAAGGGTCATTTTCTGTAAATCAACTTTAAATATTTCAATTCTGTAATCGCCCTGGGTAAGCTGCTGTCCAATATAAACTGGTTTTCTAGGGGTTTTTTTTTGTTTACTTTCGAAAATAATAATAATAAATGGTGTTTAAGACACTACTACTATGAAGTTACATAATACATATATATACATGTACATTGTACATATGTACTTAGTGTGAAAAGAACTATATTTAAAAGCCCAAATACTAAGATTCAAATTAAATACAAGACCGACAAAACTCACTTACTAGTTTTTAACTCTAAAAACTGCACTAGACATACTCTTTATCAGTAAATATACCCATTAAACTGATTACATCCTAGGAATAGAGCGTCTCCAAATCATATTGTGACAAATTGAATAAGTATGTCTTTAAACCAATTTTAAACGTATCCACTGTATAACACATTTTAACTGATGGTGGTAGAGTGTTGTAAATTTTGGGTCCAATAACACTGAAAGATCCTTGTCCAGCATGGAATACTGCACGAGGAATAATGAGTTTGAGAGAGTGTCCAAACATTTCCTATAGATAGTCAGGCGCCATTCCAAAATCATTTTCCAAACATATGACGGGGTTTCAGCAATTGCCTCAAAATCACAAATAATAATTCTGTACATATCTCGTATACTTTTTTAAACGAATTGTCAATATTTAATTAAGAGACAGAATACTGTACCTGTACGTGTTTCTGTTGTATCTGATAACTCGCATAATCATTAATTCTCAGCTATGTTGGTTAATTTAATGATCATATTACATACCAATTAACACATAATATATACATTATTATGTTTCCGACGTTCGGGTATAGATGAATGTAATCTCAACTTCTCACTCCCTCAGCGATGCTGGCTCCCAACATTTACGACACAAAAGCGTCAGTTCACATTGCAGACATGATTTACATGATTGAACACGACAAGATTCCAGATGATTCTGACTATGTAAGGAATGCGATCGAATTAGTCTATGTTCACTTATCGACACATTGTTTTCTAGTTTGGCTCATGACGCGACAGACATGATATTAGAGTTTGTCGCGCGCACGACATTATATTGGACCGCGCGGCTTTGTAGAATTCACGAACGGGCTTGTTTGGATTGCGTCACCTTTGATGCCACCTTTCTTACTGTCAACAAAATTATATCATTTGTCAACACTATGTTAAATTATACTTCAGGGTCCATGCGTGGAATTTATTCTACAGAACGAAGTGTTATCAACACTCCAGCTCCATGCTCAAAATGACATCCCGGTCGGTCTGCGAAGAATCGTCCTCGCCTTCTTCTCCCAGCTGGTTCAGAAACTCCAAAGATCTGTTATCCCTCATCTCCACATTCACAAACCGCTTCAGGTTAGCTACAAGTTTTCGGATCATTTAAACATCGGTAATTCCGTTTCCGGTTTAGCAACTTATAGCACAGTTTTGTATTCTATTTTCTAATACGGTAGCATGACCGCCTTGAGTTAAACTAGCAGTAATTCTCCTTCTTATTAAATCACTGAATTCACAAATAATTCGTTGCAGAACATGATTTGTGTCTGCGGTGGAGGGAAATACCCGATTGATGAAATCAACTTCCTCACCTCTGTCCTAGGAAAATTTCACGAAGATCCCTCTCTTGTGAATCTGTTCATGGGTGAGACCCGGTCAAAGAACGGAACAGTGGTAAGTTCATGAACAATTTTGTCTCTGTGGTATATTGTGTCTTAGATAAATAATAGGTCAGAGCTTCTATGGCGCAATCGGTTAGCGCGTTCGACTGTTAATCGAAAGGTTGCTGGTTCAAGTCCAGCTAGGAGCGATTCTTTTACAGTCCATGAAAACATCTTATGGTAACCCCGTTGAAATTACGTTCATTGCTTAGAATTAAGCAACAAGCTTCTATGGCGCAATCGGTTAGCGCGTTCGACTGTTAATCGAAAGGTTGCTGGTTCAAGTCCAGCTAGGAGCGAATCTTTTGTAGTCCATGAAAACATCTTATGCTAACCGCATTCAAGTTTCATTGATATACCTTTACTTGGATTTCAGCATCAAGCTTCTATGGCGCAATCGGTTAGCGCGTTCGACTGTTAATCGAAAGGTTGCTGGTTCAAGTCCAGCTAGGAGCGAGTCTTTTATACATCGCCTAGAATACAGTAGAATGACTATTTTATTAAGTAGTAAAAGGAAGTAAGCATACAGCAGATTATGTAGTTACAAAATTGTCTTATATTGTCTTATAATAGTGTCCAGTTTAATAAAGTAAGCGATTTCAGAACTACGAGTTGAGGATTGTCGATGCTCTCATATCACTATCACACAGCAAGGTAAATTAAGGAGGGTTTCGAACACAATATCTGTGCTCTTCATTTAGTTGCGAGATGCAGCCATTTTGGAATTGACTTCCACCAACATATGCTTTATACATGACGTGTGCGATAATCAGCAATTGCACTTGTACAGTACATACAAATTTACAAATGTACAAATGTATGTACAAATTTTGACGTTTCATTTTTCAATGAGGGCAATTTGGAATGAGCTATCAATACGTAATCCCTTGTTTATGAGTATTTGCACAACTAATTAACACTAATCTCGTAATTACTCAGGAAGATAGAGTCGTTAAGAAGAGTTGTGAAAGTTTACTAATGTGTGTATCTGCTGATAGCGAGTACATTATTGACAGTGTTCTGTCTTACACCATTCTGGTTCAAGATCTGGTTAGTAAAAGGGACATTTTCAGAGTTTCTGTTTTTATAAATAGTGCTAAAAACCTGTTGTCCTTATGCTAAATTCTTAATGACCTAAACGAAATAATAATCATCACCAATTTAACCTTTCTTAATCTTATGCAAATCACCATCACATGAAAAACGATAAACCTGACGTACCCCAGGTATCGAGGCTGTGCCAGAGATACAACTCATTCCAATCCGACCCAGACTTACTGCTGACCACGACCATATCATGGAACACCCAGTTGGAGGCCGTCATGGCTGGGAGCCTTGATAAAGCCACTGTCAGACTGCTTCTTTGGGTGAGTAATTTTTACACTTTTACAGACAATTGTTGCTGCTATTTGGACACTATTTAGCTGAACAATAAGTATAATAACCTACGTACGTCATGCTGCTGATGACAGGTGATGGTCGTACCGCTTATAAGCACATGTCATGATTGCATTGAAAATAAGGATCTAATAAAAACTTAAATCCAATTTAACATATCTCAGTTGGATTACCTGAACAGTGTAGCAACGTCCTCGCACCCTAATTTTGTTAACAAGTTGCTACGTCACCTGGCTAAAGTCTTCCTACACACTCACATACTCAATGATTTCAAGTCCTCTCAGCCACTTGACGTTGTCAAAGCCCTGGCCATGTGCCAGAAAATGTTGGGTGTTGTGACTTCTGAACTACTATTGGTTGAGGTTCGAAATTATATTTTTGTTTTGATAAATGTTGTTAAGTCAGTTCTCAGTACTTGTAATTCTTTAATTTTGTGGGGGAGTTAGGATTAAACTGGCTTTTAAAATTGAATAATTTCACATTATTCTTCCAAATAGTAGAGTGCTAAAATCTAACACATATAAGCACTCCATTTATCTTAATTCCAAAACCCCCACCAGGTACTGAAGTTCCTAACAGATGACCCAGTAATAACCACGCTCTGTTCGCTCTTGAACAACGAGGATACCCGAGTACTGACCAGTGTCCTCACGCTCCTGTGCGAGTTGTTCGAGACCCGACACTCGCTGGTTGTGGAGACACTCGTCCTGCGGTATACTCGTAAGAATGTGAGCGTGAGAAGCAAGTTGTTGTTGGAGAGGGAGGAGGAGTACAGACCCATACTCATCAGGGCTAACAGCAGGTAATTAATTAGAGGTTTAAAGAGTTAATCAATTATTAGGTGATTGGTGATCGGTCGTTTTTATTGAGTTTTTAGGCTTGAGATTGAGAGAAAGAACTTGTGGTATCGATTTTGGCAATGCCCGAGAATCAACGTGTAGCTAATCAAGCTATAATTGTTTGAACTCGAGTTCTATATTTCAGTGACAGTGGAGTTGATGAGATGTACAGCGACGAGGAGACTAGTTTCATCCACATGGACACATCCATGGTAAATCACTTCGAGGCGGACCAACAATCACCATCCCTCGCCAGAAAACTACAGGAATTAGAGATCTCTGAGAATACTGTATCGTCAGAGGGCAGGGATACTCAGCAGCATGACTGTGTGACGTCATTAAACATTGATGTGACGTCATCAAATGATAACGTTACGTCATCACAGAATGCGACCGTTTCATTACATGAACATGTAACATCATCAGAAAACAATGTGGATTCATCAGAAAATAACACAACGTCGTTAGAAAATAACGCAAATCTATCTGAACATAATGTGATGTCATCAGAAAATAACGTGAATCTATCTGAAAATAATGTGACGTCATCAGAAAATAACGCAAATTTATCTGAAAATAACGCAAATCTATCAGAAACTAACGCGGTATCAACAGAAAATAATGTGACGTCATCAGAAAACTGTTCCACATCATCAGTTCCTCAGGAAGCAGAAACATCGTCTCAGGACGGGTTTGTAATTGATGCAACATCGTCAGCTGGAGGTTCAATACCGTCTGAACAGTCCAACTGTAAATCAGTCTCAACTGATAGTGTTATGGGGGAATTAGATTCTAGCTCCTCGACATCATTATCAATTAGTGAAATTAACTACGAGCCTTTAGACTCCGGGAACCCTGAAACATATGGTAAAAGTTGCGAAGAAAATTCAGTGGCCGATAAAGTTACCAGCGATAGTCCAGAATCAATTGTAATATCTGAGACTCCCCAAGAGGAACCAAACTTTCCAGAAAACATTAAACCGATAAATCCTGCCAAGGAAGCTTTGAAGAGTTCATCTATAACTCTGGAGCACAACCGTGTTGGATCACCTAACCACTTCAAGACAGTTATTGTTTCTCATGACCAAGCAGAAGACAGCAGAAAGGGAGATAAGAATGGAAAGATTACACTAAAACTAGGTATGATCCGGAAATTTGAATTTTGTGAAACAAATTACCCTCCCCCTCATAAATAATGGATTTATTTTACAAACTGTTTAAATATCTTCTCTCTCAACGATCATCTGCAAGATTTTCTGCTGATCATATTTATATCGAAATAAAATCACTTCAGAGGCATCAGTAGCAAAATTTGTGGAACTAATGCCAGTTCTGGATCAACCCAAAATGGCGGGATTTAACGAGTATCTTTATGATGCTCATCTCAAGGTACACATCAGTTCATATTAAATTGTTAATTTCTTTAAATCGTGTGCAACTTCAGACAACTTTGTTTTGCATTATTCTAACAACTGGTAGATCATGTGAGCATATTATGCATTTTTCAATGTAAACTATCTATTATTACTAACAAAGTTTAGTAAAATTTAATATAAATTCACGACACATTTTCAGGCTGAAGAGGTTATGTATGCATACAGCTGGATCCCCGCCCATTACAGCTCAATTGAGGATGACGACCTAATCTCAGATATTGGAGTTTTCCTGGAGAAAGTTTTCTCCATGGTTCAGAGCATACCTTATCAGGTAATTCTTATCTTTATAATTTGAGGAGACAAAGCACACTTCACTACCAACCTTTTTCAAACCTTGCATATGTAATTTTCTGGTTCTCGATTTTATGATAAAATTACTGGTCAGCTACCCATACATGTACATTGTACAGCTGATATTTAATTTTTATGTGTAATTTAAGTATGTGTTTAACTCAATTTCTATAACTAACTTATTAACCACCCACCTTCAGAGTTACATGGTGAACATGTTGCTGATGTCGTTGGTTTCAGAGATAGTTCACATACCTCACGACAGCGTTACCTTGTTGCTCCTTGACACTTCTCTTCCATCTCCCCCTTTGTACAACGCTTTACTTGACATCTCGCGGGAGTTCCGTGATATTTTCGAGGTGAGTTGTCTGAAAATTAGGAGACCACGAATTCTCCTGCATCATGAATACTTGAAAAAATGTGCACTGAAACGTGGATCAGGATCTTCAAGTTAATTGAATAACACTTCGTATAATTGTCTAATACTTATGATTGATGAATGATTAGGCAATATTCTTTCATCCTCGGTGGTTCACTGGTTCTGTTAATATTAATCTAAATTGTAATTATAAAATGAACCTACTAATTAATTAATTGATTAATTAATTAGTAATTATAACATGAGCCTATTAATTTCCCCAGGCTAGCCCCACTCTAAAAGATCTTCTCCGGACGGAACTGGACTATGAGATGCCAGATGTTTGTAGAGCTGCATTCCTTACAGAGGAATTCTGTAAGGAACTAGCTGCTACAGCTCTTGTTAAGTCCACCACGTGACAGATGCACATTGCACGTGACAGATGCACGTGACAAACCTACAACATGATAGTTTATCTAAACTGACAGAGTAATAATGAAGTTTTTATTTTCAGTACGTTTTACAGGCTGATATAATTAAAGGATTGGATTTGGATAGCTATTTTAATTTGGCGTGGTTTTGTAAATTTTGAAACGAGTTATTCTTATTTCAGTGAACTACTTTAAGATTGATATGATATTTGGCAAGGTACTCATTTTGATTTCGAATTGAGCGTATTTATTGAGAATCAAGCTCATTTAAGAACATCCCCTACAAATTGTACGAAGGCTGCAAATTGGTGAATTCGTTAAATATGTCTTATGTTGTGAGTTTTTATATTTGTCAATTACATTTGTTATGCCTTCTGGGAGTTATTTCAGTCCAGTTAATATTTGATAGAATTTAAAATCATGTTTAATTCTGATAACTTTTCTTATTGTCTGCTAAATTCTCAATTATTTCCAATCTACTCAATCGACTGGTTGAGCAACATTACCGAAAATTAAATTATTTAAATATGTGTAATGTATGATACTGCTTAACAATTGCATTCAGCTTCGAAATTATAAATACTTAATTACAATATATTTTCTGTCGACAAGTGATTAGCACCATTTCACGATTAGAACTTTCATCTTAATCTGATTTTTTGTTGTTGGTGGTCATTATTCTTTTTAGGAATATAAAATCTTTAAAAATCTGTACCCATACGACGAATTCTTGGATTTCAATGAAATCCATATACCATTTGAAAAGGTAGTACAATGAAATTTTCATTGTACTACCTTTTCAAATGGTATATGTTTACCACTCCCAGTGGTAGTGGTAGTGGTAGTACCACCGCAGTTTAGAAGGTGCTTATCTCTGACACTGTAATTGCACGAGAACTTTTTGTGTTCTGAGGGGAAGAATCTTTGAACTTTTTAATTGAATTAATTACATTCTGGAATGCTTTTTATCTCAAAATTATCGTTTCATTTTCTACGTTTCATGATCCAAATATTTTAGACATAAAAGTGCGATCACACTGAGACATTTGATTCTCCTGAAATAAAACCATCTTATGCCTTGTCGAAAAATTGTGCAAAAGTAAAATTCTACCACATACCATAACCAATAACAATCTAATAATTGAATGTTAGAATAATACTGAAGAAAAAGAACTTTAATTGATAGGTTCTGCAGTATATTTTTGTCCATGTCATTAGCGTTAAAATTTCAGCGTATGGGCACCCGGCACTCAATCACAATGAATCTGTCCGAATAAATGTTTCACTTTTGAGTTTGTTTTCTGCAGCATGTGATCTATCGTACCTCAGTCATCGAGAGCACGATCAGTATCTGTAGAGAACTGACCACAATCGCTGTAACTTTAACAGATAATAGTGGTGCAAATGAAACCATAACAGTTCCGTTCAGTCCGATACCGTAAGCGATACTAGAACCTGAAGCCAATCCCGAAGCTCCGAAGTAATCCGCGTCGTATAAAATGTAGGTCGCGGCCATTGCAGTGATTCCAAACAAGAATTTTACGATGAAGTTGGTGAGGATAACCACAACAAGGTTATCTTGCGCAAGCATCCCAGCAAAACATCCCACATTCACGACAGCAACGATCAGCTGCAATGTTCTAAAACAAACGAGGTGTCTGACATGGTGAACAAATAATCGGCCAGCTACCGCTGCAAAGGTAACCAGAGCCAAAAGTAAAAAATCTAGTCCCTGAATAACGGTAGTAGAACAGTCACTATTTGATCCGACCTCATCAATCTTTAGTGCCTGGATCAAATATGGAACTAGAAGAATTGTAAGCCAGCCCTGAAACGAGTTCACTGCACAGTATAATCCGAGTTTTGTTGTCCTGGCAACAAAGTTAGGTATTTTTTCCTCCGTGTCTGAGTCCGAATTCGTCGTCAGATCTTGTGCTTGCTGGGCATCCGTCTTGTTCAAACAGAAATGAAGCATAAAAATAGGTGGCACGAAGATGGGCAATGAAGTAAAAAGGATGAAGGTTCTCCAGCCCAATACTTCTAGAAGCAAATATGCCAGGAATGCACACCAAATACCTCCAGCAGTGTATACTAGTGAAGCTATCAGCATGATATCAGCTAGTATTAACTTGCTGGAGACGAGCTCTGCGATCAGAACGGTGTGTATGGAGAGGTTGAGACCAACACAGAATCCTATCAGAGCTCTAGAGAGGAGGAGGGTGGCATAGTTAGCCACAACAGCACATACAACCGTGCTCACTATACTGAGGTAGAGAGATAACAGACTCAACTCTCTTCTTCCAAACCTACCGAAGTTAGATTATAGGGTGGTTCTCAGGCGTAAATTAAAATTAGGGGTCGTTCACATATTACGTTATCATTTTTTGGAACATTTTTACCCCCCCCCCCCCCCCCCCCCCCCCCTCCGTAATCAGTTGTACACATAGCTATTGTGTCAAAATTGCACTAGCATAATCATTCGGAAACCCCCCCCCCCCCCTCAGCTGATTACGTAATATCAGTAGTCAATGACTAGACAGGGTTATTGAAAATTACAAAGAATGCAATGGCGTCTGGACTCTGGACTTGAAACCAGCTAATAGTACATTTCATTAATGCCCTCTGAAAACCATAATATGTGAACGACCCCTTAGTAGAGACGAAATAGAGTAGTAAGACTAATAAACAGTTAAACTTAAACATTAATTGCGATATTAAAATTAAATGGGGTCTTCAGCCCGGCTATGAGTAATATTGGCACTATCCGTCGCGGAGTCGAGTCCGCGGCGGAGCCGCCGGACTCCGAGCGGACTCCAGCGGAGCCACCGGACTCCGAGCGGACTCCGGCGGTGCTCCGCCAAAATGTATTTACAGTGGACTCGAGTACATTTTGGCGGACTCCGAGCGGAGCCGAGCGGACTCCGAGCGGACTTTAAAGTCCGCCGCGGACTCCGAGCGGCTCCGCGGCGGCTCGGTGGAGTGTCCGCCGCGGACTAAGCCACTAGGCGGACTCCGGTCCGCCGCGGACTCCGGCGGAGTGCTTGGCGGACTCCGCCGGACCTCTCCGCCAGACTTGAGTCCGGCGGAGTCCGGCGGAGCTTGGCGGAGTCCACCAGCTCGGCGGACTCCGCTCGGAGTCCGCCGGACTCCAACAGAGTCCACTGACTTCCGACCTCCGTCTTCCGACCCTCGGCTAAATTTGTCACGTGACATACAACATAGCATTTTGCAATATTGTGGTCAGATGAAAAGGTCGCTGCGCTAGTGATAAACCTTAACCATTACCCTCACAATGTCAATAGTGTACAACTCTAGTCCTAACTTTGACCCTATAATGTATAAACGTTGACCCTAACCCTCCACCAAACCGTCCGCAGCGAAATATCAATGTCATTGACTGGTCACGTGACCAAAACAATTTTTGTCATATTATCTCATATGGGGAAGCGTTTTTAGCAAGCAAAAATACGTCGACCATCACAGGACGACGCCAGCCAGCACTCTCTACGCTCTTCGAGCTCCGATCGTCCTGTGACGAAGTAAGGACGAAGCCTGAGGTCCTCAGGTAACGTCGACCACCGATTGAAAATTCAAAGATTTTTTGACATAAAGGTCAAATGTAAAACTAAAATCTTGATGTTGATTGATTGACGACGTCAATTTTTGAGCACAGCGCGAGCGCATGCGGAAAAGGACCGCGTAGCTAGTCAAGATGTTGATAAATATTTGGCTTGTGGCGTGATGTGTTGCTCTAACTATAGCCCTCTCGCTTGCAGTAGCGCGCGACCGCTGGAGGCGGAAATGACCTGGTTAGCTAGGTAAACGCGATGTGCCTTGTAGGATGAAATCCTACTAGCTGACGCCACTCGCAGCTGTGCTGCTCGCTGTACGTCAGCGATCGAAATTTATACGCGTATCCCCCGTTAAGATGTGCCACTCGACGCGCCACACAATTTTTCTTGTTGCTCGTTGCACGTCGACGAACAACGAAGCTCGTTGCGACGCGACGCGCAATGAGCTGCCAGGCTAGGACATCCTGGTCCAACAAATTTTGGCGAGCGATTTTCTCCAAAAATTTAATGAGGGCGCCGACTTCCACTCTGGCTAGGTTTCTTCTTACCCAGCGCGGCGGGTCGGGTACTCATGTACTTGATTATTGAGAGTACCCCATCTTATGAACGATAGTTACTGGGCCGCGCTCAGCCGGTCATTCCGCCTAATCTCTAACAACATTAAAGCCTGGGGTCCTCAGGTAAGAACGATAGATGAACTTACAGTTACATGTTACAATATATTTTGAAGTTTTTGAAGTATATTATATGTATTGATTATTCTGTGGCAAATAAAATTCTCTTTTTCTTAAATTCTCTTTTTCTTAATTCTTGTTCATTGAAATATTACCGCCAGCGAGGAGCTGCAGCTGCGACTGCAAGCCGTGTTACCCACTTCCCTGTACTGTATTGTGATCAGCATGAGTTTAATCAAAGTAATGTGTATCACTCGCTTCACTCGATCCGAAATTAAAGTATATAATCCTACAACGCCAAGCTAGTAATAGAGTTTTATGAAAGCACTCTGGCCAAGTCAGTGGATTCTTTTTACCTAATTTTACCTCATCCCATTAAGGAACGCGCGCTGGGTAACAAGAAACCTAGCCAGAGTGGAAGTCGGCGCCCTCATTAAATTTTTGGAGAAAATCGCTCGCCAAAATTTGTTGGACCAGGACGATGTCCTAGCCTGGCAGCTCATTGCGCGTCGCAACGAGCTTCGTTGTTCGTCGACGTGCGACGAGCAACAAGAAAAATTGTGTGGCACGTCGGGTGGCACATCTTAACGGGTGATACGCGTATAAATTTCGATCGCTGACGTACAGCGAGCAGCACAGCTGCGAGTGGCGTCAGCTAGTAGGATTTCATCCTACAAGGCACATGCATCGCGTTTACCTAGCTAACCAGGTCATTTCCGCATCCGGCGGTCGCGCGCTACTGCAAGCGAGAGGGCTATAGTTAGACTTAAAGCAACACATCGCGCCACAAGCCAAATATTTATCAACATCTTGACTAGCTACGCGGTCCTTTTCCGCATGCGCTCGCGCTGTGCTCAAAAATTGACGTCGTCAATCAATTAACATCAAGATTTTAGTTTTACATTTGACCTTTATGTCAAAAAATCTTTGAATTTTCAATCGGTGGTCGACGTTACCTGAGGACCTCAGGCTTCGTCCTTAATTCGTCACAGGACGATCGGAGCTCGACGAGCGTAGAGAGTGCTGACGTCGTCCTGTGATGGTCGACGTATTTTTGCTTGCTAAAAACGCTTCCCCATATGAGATAATATGACAAAAATTGTTTTGGTCACGTGACCAGTCAATGACATTGATATTTCGCTGCGGACGGTTTGGTGGAGGGTTAGGGTCAACGTTTATACATTATAGGGTCAAAGTTAGGACTAGAGTTGTACACTATTGACATTGTGAGGTGTTAAGAGGCGTACTCGGATTTTAGCACGACAACTTACTTAACGGCCTATTTACTGCTCCAATTTTCCATGACTTCTAGAGATTATTTATTTCTTATATTTCATTAAATTGTGATGGTATTAATTTAACTACGTATAATGGGCTCCTTTTAACTAGAGTATGGATATTCAGGTTCCGATATTATGGAATACCTCCCGGTTTGAGACTCACTCAGGGCATAGTTCAAACCCAAACTCTCAGTGTACAATGGTAGATTTATGACAGGAATTTATGTTATAATTATGGACTTCGAACTTTCAGGTTAATTTATGTCTAGAGTTTTAACTTCGAACTTTTAGATGAATTTATATCTGGAAGATAACCAATTAAAACAAGGGAATATGGATTGTAAAATAATGCAAGACCAATCCAATAGTACATAAAATAAGTGTTCAATCTCATGGTAAAGTCCGTTACCCTAAATCAGTTGGGTAGCTGGGTGATCAATGGAAACTGGTGTGTATTGTAACGGGCTGGCTGACTCTCTCTCTGGACGATGGACAGGTAGCTGCTATATCATGGCTACGTTCCTTCAATGCTGCCAACGAGGGCAGAATCCGTGGGAGGGGAATGTCCTAGAAAGGGACAAATTATTAGCAAATGACGGATTAATTAAAGACAATAATATACTAACTAGGATAAAATTAAACAAGATAAAGTTAAATTAGAATGAACTGTAGAATACTAAATATGTAAGAACTTATCAATAAATGCTCAAATGACTTACGAGGTAATAATGTAGGTGCTGCTAAGGTTAGGACAAGCAACCAGGTAGGATAGGCTCACCACAATATTACCTAGGAAGGTATAAACCTATTAGAATTTAATTACTAACCAATCGGGAATGACTTTAGTATTACGAACAATGTGAATCAATAAATTGGGAATAACATTGCTATGAACAACATCTAATGAATGGGTTACATAATAATAGAACAATACCTCGAGCAACAAACTTCCTAGCTCAGCGGGAATTTACGGAAGTGACGGGAACCAATTGCAATGTTCTGGTGACTTCTGGCGGGGAAGAAAGGATAAGTATTTTAGTCGCATAATATACTAAGACTTTTGAACTCATGGGATTAATCTTAACCTAATTATGCATGATACTGATACAGTCTTTAGGAACAAAATACTAAGGTCAATCATTTAAAATAAAAGATTACAAACCTATTTATGAAACTAGTGACGTGGGAGAGAGCGCAGCATACTAACACCCGGGCCGTGTAGGGAAAACCAATCATAGGAGAGGCGTTCGGGAAAAGGCTAAAGGCAGACGGCCCTGAGAATCTTGTGTGTTCATCTTTTGTAGTCTAGGTGTTCTGTGGAAGAGGAGCTCCAGTGGAAGAGGCGGTCCACGCGTTATCCAGGAGAGTTGCAAACAAACAGGTTATTGCAAACAGGTTATTGCAAACAAACAGGTTTAATAATACAAATACAGGTTTTTTAAAACTGGTTAAAATATTGTTCCACTAATTGATGAATTCAATAACTCTATTACCCCAATAATTTCTTTGTAAATAATTCTAATAACACTAAATGTCCTTTCTGACCAATGGCTGCAGTGTTCTGCAAACCTCTCGAATCAGATCTTAATCATATAAGTGATCACTTAATTCATCTTTATGAAACCTAATGCCAAGGAATTAAACTGGAATTAAACGCAGCATACTGGGGTTCAACTTAACTTCTAGTTCTGAGGTACTACACACGTCCCTAACATGTCCCCGATCGATTTTAGGACGTCCCCGTCATAACAACCCCATCTATAATTTAAGAACTTTATAAAATGATGCCCTTTCCTTTAATCGTTTTTTAAAAAAAATCGTACATTTAAAAAACTACTCGAAAAGCTAACTATCTTTTCTTCAAAACAAACTCTAAATTCTTGGGCATAAGGTTTGATAAAATTTAATATAACGGGTGGATCTGGATTTCTAGGAATATCCGGACTAATTAAATTTGCACAGAGAATTTCGGAATTTCTAAGAAATTTAGAGCCACTAATGCCATTATCAGGAATTAAAGGATTTCCAGGAATCTGGTATAAATGTTGGTGTGTCATGATTAATATATACAGACTTGTTGCCACAAGCTTCAATAAATTAATTTTTTAATAAAAGAAAAAAAAAAGAAAAGAAATATACATGCCCACAACTTAATACCTATAATTAAAGTCATTGTCCTCGTGGTCATTGTAGTGGTCATTGTAGCGTGCATCTTGGCTGCTGAAAGCCATGTTGTCAAAGTTGTTGGACTGTTGTCCATAGTAATTTATGTTAGGTAGTCCGATGCTCACACGTGATCCTTGGTAATTGTATGGGAGGTTGAGGCCATTATTGTAAGCGGGAGTATCGGTATTTGGGTTTACAGGCTGAACTTCACGTGGTACGACTTGGCTGATTGCATTAACAGATAGTAAATCAATAATAGTGTTTAACTTATTGGTCGTGTCATTAATGTCCGGTGTAACGACTGTATCCACAGCGTTGACAGCTTGGGTCCTAGATAGGGAAGCGTTTTTGCAGTTGATGAGAAGGTCTGCCCTCTCTAAAAGTTGTTCATTTTGTAGCTCAGGTGTTTCTCTAAGTCGGGCACTGATATTGGCATCCTGTATGTTATTTATGAAGCTATCTCTTAGTGCATTGTCCCTCACAAGTACTAACTCGTCTCCGGGGTAGGCCTTCTTAGCAATGTTGTACAATTTAATATAGAAAGCTCTCACAGACTCATTACGTTGGCGCAGGGTCTTCCTCAGTGAAGACTTCGACTCTTCCCTATTTCCTCCTCCGATCCCTAATTCTCTCCTCAGCACTATCAACAATTCCTCAAAGGTGATCTCTGGTCTTATATGCCTCTCCACCGCGAGTAGACACTCATCAGATAAGCAATTTATGAGAATGTGGGGTATCTCGTTATCTCTAGCTCCGATACTATCGACATAGCTCTGGAAACGCCGGATGTATAACTCTAAGTCATTGTCCATTCTTAACAAAGGAGGTGCTCGGAGAAATTGAAGTGGGGCTCCTTGATTAACACGATTTTGCCTAGGAGGTATCGGAGGTTGAACTTCACCCTGTCCAATATCGAGGATGTCATTATCACGTTCGGCCATTCCTATTTATGAATATTAGAGGTAATTACTTAAGCTAATGTGTTCAAATAATGTATAAGAGCATTGCAAAAAAATTTTTAACTATTTGTAAGCATCATGTGTACTATATGTGAAAAGAATGCTAGAGAGATGCAGGATTTTGGTAAGAATAGGCAGTTAACTTAAATTCGCGCAACTCCGGAAGTTTTGGAATCTTACTCGGTGAAACTTATTCCACAAGGTTGCAAACTTAACGCGAGTTGAGGAACATTCACACAATGGTCACCAGAGACCTAATTGCGGAGTTACCCCAACAAGGCCTTTCATGGCAGTCTACTTCCAGACTGGAACTTCGAAACACCTAACTTCTTAACTTAAAGGCGCAAAATTCCAAGCTTCAACAAACAAATAATTTAGAATAATCAAATAGCAATAACTACGGCTGATGATCAATAACTCCATTTTCGTTTCTTGCTATTATGATACTTTATAGTAATGACACGTTCATGACCGATCAAATTTTTATAGTGCATTTTCTCACAAAAGCATGGCCTCAAAATATCTGCAAATAATTATCTATTGAAATGATTAAATAGTGTATGTGGAGCTATTGAACATCACCGGACAATGTTAAAACTTGTGTTGTGCGAATTTCCCGGTCTACATTTCTAAAAATAACTATAAGCTTCCAACTACACGTAAAAATAATCTTGACTAAAATTTAAGAACAATAAACTAATTTGGCTATTCTTCGATCAGCCGAATCTACTTATAGTTACACAATTCAAAACACAGCACAAAAGGGTTTGCTGCTTAAAAAAAACAATATTCTAACTTATTTATTTTCGCTACAACATCTGACCTTGCAAGTTCTCTCAACTTTGTTCGTAACTAAAAGACAGGCGTTATCCTTCTTCACACTCTGTATAATACTTGAATTACTGCAGCTGCTGACCTGTCTCAGTATTCTGCGGAAACTTCAAGATAAAAAATAATAATACTGCCTAATGCAGTAAACAATCAATATGCATTAATAACTGTGCAGCCACCAGCCAACACTCACAACTTAAAATACCCTGCATCCAATAAAATTTGTATCCCTTATCTCCCAACATATTTCCAACTATGCCAACTTTAACCAATATACCCTTTATCAAATCTTATATTACTCGTATCATCTCGTATCATCTCAATTCATCTTCCCCATCTTCACGTCCGCATACCCTATTATACTAAATCATCTTTATTTCTAAACAACAACCCCTTCATCAAATCTCCCTCTGTCTCATCATAATTCAAATATCTTCTCTTCCTCACGTCCGCATACCCTATAACGCTAAATCATCCTTATTTCTAAACAACAACCCCTTTATCAAATCTCCCTCTGTCTCATCATAATTCAAATATCTCCTCTTCTTCACGTCCGCATACCCTATAACGCTAAATCATGTTGCCAATCTTAGTTTCAAGGTTCGAAGGGTCGTACTGGATCTGAAGTGTTTCTAACCACCAAGCGCGCATTTGGCGGTATCACAACACCCAAATAACAGATAAGAAGCCCATCTACTAATTAAAACTAACGCCTTGTCAACAACCATTATAGCACCTCCTCCCAATAAACTTCACAACATCTTCTAAACCCCGTATCCCTTTAGCCGGCTAATAGTTTATACTGCAGTTTAATATATCTCCCCATAATATACTTGTCTCACATTTCAACATCTCATAATATTCCGTAATCTTCTCAACTTTATCATCTCCTCTCATCATTCCCATATTTACCCAATTATACGGCCGTATATTACCTATGGTATTTATCACCACTTTCCCTTTCACATCATCATCATATCTATGACTACTCAATATCATCACATCGTCATCTCATTTACCAAATCTCTTCCCAATTCTCATCATCATATCCCTCTTGCCCAAATATCCACTTCTACACTAAACCATTATCTCATCATCAAAACTTCTCTGTTGTGGCTTCATCATTCTATGGTGATGGCTGCAACAACTACTATCAATGTAAATAAACAAATTGCACTAACGGTGCACTAACAAAAAAAAACAAGTAAACTAAAGTTTGGCGTCTCTTCCAGATTTTTGAAATTTTGCTACCAAAATTTGTACAGAGAGAGCCGCATTAGGGCTACATTGTTAAGAGGCGTACTCGGATTTTAGCACGACAACTTACTTAACGGCCTATTTACTGCTCCAATTTTCCATGACTTCTAGAGATTATTTATTTCTTATATTTCATTAAATTGTGATGGTATTAATTTAACTACGTATAATGGGCTCCTTTTAACTAGAGTATGGATATTCAGGTTCCGATATTATGGAATACCTCCCGGTTTGAGACTCACTCAGGGCATAGTTCAAACCCAAACTCTCAGTGTACAATGGTAGATTTATGACAGGAATTTATGTTATAATTATGGACTTCGAACTTTCAGGTTAATTTATGTCTAGAGTTTTAACTTCGAACTTTTAGATGAATTTATATCTGGAAGATAACCAATTAAAACAAGGGAATATGGATTGTAAAATAATGCAAGACCAATCCAATAGTACATAAAATAAGTGTTCAATCTCATGGTAAAGTCCGTTACCCTAAATCAGTTGGGTAGCTGGGTGATCAATGGAAACTGGTGTGTATTGTAACGGGCTGGCTGACTCTCTCTCTGGACGATGGACAGGTAGCTGCTATATCATGGCTACGTTCCTTCAATGCTGCCAACGAGGGCAGAATCCGTGGGAGGGGAATGTCCTAGAAAGGGACAAATTATTAGCAAATGACGGATTAATTAAAGACAATAATATACTAACTAGGATAAAATTAAACAAGATAAAGTTAAATTAGAATGAACTGTAGAATACTAAATATGTAAGAACTTATCAATAAATGCTCAAATGACTTACGAGGTAATAATGTAGGTGCTGCTAAGGTTAGGACAAGCAACCAGGTAGGATAGGCTCACCACAATATTACCTAGGAAGGTATAAACCTATTAGAATTTAATTACTAACCAATCGGGAATGACTTTAGTATTACGAACAATGTGAATCAATAAATTGGGAATAACATTGCTATGAACAACATCTAATGAATGGGTTACATAATAATAGAACAATACCTCGAGCAACAAACTTCCTAGCTCAGCGGGAATTTACGGAAGTGACGGGAACCAATTGCAATGTTCTGGTGACTTCTGGCGGGGAAGAAAGGATAAGTATTTTAGTCGCATAATATACTAAGACTTTTGAACTCATGGGATTAATCTTAACCTAATTATGCATGATACTGATACAGTCTTTAGGAACAAAATACTAAGGTCAATCATTTAAAATAAAAGATTACAAACCTATTTATGAAACTAGTGACGTGGGAGAGAGCGCAGCATACTAACACCCGGGCCGTGTAGGGAAAACCAATCATAGGAGAGGCGTTCGGGAAAAGGCTAAAGGCAGACGGCCCTGAGAATCTTGTGTGTTCATCTTTTGTAGTCTAGGTGTTCTGTGGAAGAGGAGCTCCAGTGGAAGAGGCGGTCCACGCGTTATCCAGGAGAGTTGCAAACAAACAGGTTATTGCAAACAGGTTATTGCAAACAAACAGGTTTAATAATACAAATACAGGTTTTTTAAAACTGGTTAAAATATTGTTCCACTAATTGATGAATTCAATAACTCTATTACCCCAATAATTTCTTTGTAAATAATTCTAATAACACTAAATGTCCTTTCTGACCAATGGCTGCAGTGTTCTGCAAACCTCTCGAATCAGATCTTAATCATATAAGTGATCACTTAATTCATCTTTATGAAACCTAATGCCAAGGAATTAAACTGGAATTAAACGCAGCATACTGGGGTTCAACTTAACTTCTAGTTCTGAGGTACTACACACGTCCCTAACATGAGGGTAATGGTTAAGGTTTATCACTAGCGCAGCGACCTTTTCATCTGACCACAATATTGCAAAATGCTATGTTGTATGTCACGTGACAAATTTAGCCGAGGGTCGGAAGACGGAGGTCGGAAGTCAGTGGACTCTGTTGGAGTCCGGCGGACTCCGAGCGGAGTCCGCCGAGCTGGCGGAGTCCGCCAAGCTCCGCCGGACTCCGCCGGATTCAAGTCTGGCGGAGAGGTCCGGCGGAGTCCGCCAAGCACTCCGCCGGAGTCCGCGGCGGACCGGAGTCCGCCTAGTGGCTTAGTCCGCGGCGGACACTCCACCGAGCCGCCGCGGAGCCGCTCGGAGTCCGCGGCGGACTTTAAAGTCCGCTCGGAGTCCGCTCGGCTCCGCTCGGAGTCCGCCAAAATGTACTCGAGTCCACTGTAAATACATTTTGGCGGAGCACCGCCGGAGTCCGCTCGGAGTCCGGCGGCTCCGCCGGAGTCCGCTCGGAGTCCGCTCGGAGTCCGCTCGGAGTCCGGCGGCTCCGCCGCGGACTCGACTCCGCGACGGATAGTGCCGTAATATTAGTATCACCTTCACTGACCTGTCAGAGAGGTGTCCAGATATAGTAATAGATATTGTCAGTGTGAGGTAGAGGATACAATCTAGAAAATTCTTTTGGAGGTTTGTTAGTCCTAGGTCACATGACACCTCTTGTGTTATCACTCCTGGGGGAGGGAGAGAGTTGAATTGTTACTTCAGAAATCGATTAAAAATAACAAATCAAGTTTTTCTACTTATGAATATATTACATATTTGGAAATCAAGCGTAGGATATTGACAATTGAGAGATGAAGCATCTTACTATATATAAAGCGAGACGATATATATATATATATATATATAATAAATAGTTGTTGTTTGGTTTCCCAAAGAGAGTGCTCGACTGCAGTTAAGCAGGAGCATTATAATTCGAACAATTGAAACAAATCAAATTGGCGGGCACTGATGATTGGTATTGTTTTTATACATATCATGAAACGGATCGTTTGCCCGCCAATTTGATTTGTTTCAATTGTTCGAATTATATATATATATGGATATATGGATTCGTGCCATTTTACTGACACCAGGGCATCAACTTTAATGCGACCTTCCGCAAAAACCGTAAAAGATATACAAAAAATTAAAAATTGGCCAAGGAATAAGAATTTTAATGCCCAAAATTTGGACTCCCAAGTGGTGTCAAAAACGCAAATTAAATAGGTAATTCATATCCTGTCATCACTCCTGGAGTAATGGATATTATATGTTTATTTCAATAAATATGATAATCAATAAATTAGAATAGAATCTAGTCTTCTTTTCAGCTCACTCTTCAGCAACCTCTTCCTCTACATTCTCAACCTCATCATCAACTTCCTCATCTTCATCATCAACATCATCACCCCTGTCTTCATCGCTGGTGGTGTGTGCGAGATTTAGGTCCAGTTCGTCAACAGGTATTGCTTTCTCATAATACCGTCCTCTGTGTCCTCTCACTGCAATCAAAACTGTTTTAAGTAGCTCAAATCGCAAACGACGTCTAAGATTTGCCATGATGAGGCTTTTATCCTGGCTGGTCTTGGCTGCCAGAAGTGTTGCCACTCGATAAATAGGTAATAATTATTTTATTCTCTCGAGTCTTGACACCATTTTAGGGTAGACGGGTTCCTGCTAGTAAATCTAAAAAGAGGGCTATTTATTAATTAACTGCTGCTGCTTTTGATCGACCTCTTGATTTTGAGTAATAAGCAGTTTTTACTAAAAGCCTGATTAACTATCAAATATATTATATCAACTATAGTTGTCACTGATGATATCATACTTTCATGATTGAAACAATTGTTTGACTTAACCCATCGTTTCAATTTGTAATATCAACTATATATATTTATTTTAATAATTTACCGGGCAAGTATATTTCCACTCCATCCCCCAGATGAATTAACGAACCAAATACGAGAAGTAGTAAGTCTATTTTAGTCCATGATTTGCTTTCATTTTCTTTTTTCACCAAGCAGCTTTGCTCGTGCTCATCTTCTATTTGGAGCACGGATTTGGACATCTTGACTCTGTCAACTCACAACTGTCTTGCTTCCTTTATAGTTTAGTTTGATAGAAAACGATCAACTACGAATTTAATTTTTAAGTCACAATATGGTTGTCAATGTCATGCAGCTTATAGACCATAATAACTGTTTCATTCCGTAAATAGTTTAAAATTCTCGGAATGAAATCCCTAAACTATACATTTTTGGGGCCATTTTATTCTAAAAAGGCCAGGCAATAGCTGCCGTTTATAAAAATGCTGAAATCAATGAAAAGATTCACGTACTGTAGATCGATATGATCAATAATTGATCTTTAATACAAAACAAAAGAGGGAGAAACATGTCTCTCGAAAACAATTTTAGGAAATTTTTATATTTGGGATCGTAAAGGGAACAAAACCAATCTTATTAGACAGGGAAGAAGCAAGATTTTGTTCAATGTTTTTTAAAGACTTGTCGTTTATTTCGTACAGTCAGACTAACAAATTTTGAACCAATACTTTCTTGCTGTATAGTTGATGGATTTGATCGTAATTGTAAATAAAGCTGGTATTTGGTGGAGATATTGATAATATGTTTTCAGTGTTTATCGTCACAGTGTATGGTTGTCAGTTGACCATTGTTTGTAGGTTTACAACCTACCAGGACGCGCGCCGAGTTGGACTCGTCGCGTCGACGGTCCGGCCAATATATGGGACAGATATTTTACGAGTATCACCTTGCTCTAACCAGATTTATCATAAGGGTCAAAGGAAAAGTCCTGCAAATTAAAAAAAATATGCTTTCAGTAATAGGTCTCACTCTCAAAAAGGGTGCAACATGCAAAGAGGGAGAATCTGGAACAATTTTAGAAAAAATTTGTTTTAAGGAATGAATTCTAGCAATGAGGAATGTAAATTTGGACTACAAGGGGCAAACTGTGTCCTGCTAATCACAGTGCTGGCAAGCACGACCGGTGCATTTATTGTGGGTATACTATGTACCCCCTTTACTATTATACCCCCTTTACTATTATACCCCCTTTGGTACACGTTACAAGCCTCTTTCGTGCACGCGAAGCGTGCACTCCGGCCGGAGGCGGCGGCCGAAGGCCGCCGCCTCCGGCAGGAGTTTTTCAGGCATTAAGACTCATCGGAAGTCGTTCAGCAGATTTATTTTTAGTTCAAAACATTCTAATTTGATGTCAAAGATGACAGGAATAAAAAATAGTTATGTTGAGATTTTTAAGAAATTTGCATAAAATACTCGCCAGCACTGTTATACGAAATTCGGTAAAAAACCCAAAATCGCCATATTCAGGTGCCTTAAAAACCATGTTAAAATCGAGTTAGAGATCTGAAATTTTTCAAGGCGTCTAGACGTTGACCAAATCGACTGCAAAAAAAGTTTCAGGTTTCAGGAACATCGGGAAGTGGGTTTTCTAGAACCCCTGTTTTACAACAGATTGTCGTGATATCTATATATATACATATATATATATTTTACCAAAACCCATATTCATGGGTAGAGTGGACCGCTGCCAGTGTCTCTCTTTCCCAAACAAAAGGAAATGATATTAATTTGATTGACCGTTCTCAAATGCAAAATGATACCGAGAATGAAATCGGTCGCTCGCTTTTTCCATTCATTCACGGCTTACGAATTGTATAAATAAGTTTCGATTGATTACATCAATCAGATGCTGTAAAAATCTCTTTGGGTTGCGTTCGGGTCGATACCTAGTATTTCGGGGTAAGGGTAGTAGTTATTGCTTATTGAATTAGCTGAAGTTTATTGAATCTTTATTGCCGAGTACAGCTGCCTTTGGGTAGATCTTCTTAATCTATTACAATTGTAAATGAATGGGAAAAGCGAGCGACCGATTTCATTCTCGGTATCATTTTGCATTTGAGAACGGTCAATCAAATTAATATCATTTCCTTTTGTTTGGGAAAGAGAGACACTGGCAGCGGTCCACTCTACCCATGAATATGGGTTTTGGTAAAATATCATCTCTTTTTGATTATAATGTCAGGGTACTTTATAAAGTCGAAATATAAACTGATATCTTCATTAATTAATAAGGAGGAAGTTTCAACGATTTCGAAATTTTCCTTTAAAAACATTTCCTTGTGTTTAGGTAAGCATATCGGTCGATCACTGACTGAATATGCCACCTAATACTCATTCAAGTTGGCATTAAATTCATATATAATGACATTAAACTGTCGTGGCAAAGCAGAATTTGTTGGAAATCACGAATGAGCAAAATTCTCACCTTTCGCACGTGCAAACTTTGAGCGGACGTTGCGTGCGCATCCAATATTGAATCGCCGTAAATTTTTGCATGTAATTGTTTTATATATAGCTTGATAAGCATGCAAAGTTTCAAAGTATTTCAAGAAGAACTGTAATCACAACGGCACTCTAAAGTTGACAGAAAATGACGAAAACAGCAATTTTCAGTGATTTTAGCAATTTTCTATCAATTTGGGCGTGTCCCCACGTGTGCAACTTTTCGATTTTCAACTTCAAAACTAGCCTAATGCACAATTTATACCTATAGGAAGCAGAACTGAGCTCCTCAACTCAAGGCATGGCCCAACACCAGAGAATACTAAATCGCAAAATTGACGTTTTTATAAAATAATTCTTCAAAAAAGCACAAACTTCAATGACGAATATCTTTATGAAGGAGCAAGCTAGAAAAACTTTCCGGTAGATTTTCAGAATGCTTGAACAATTATCTAAGGTAAAAATCTCCTCAGATTTTGAATAAAATTACTCCTTAATGGTTTAAAATTAATTTTAAAAGTTATTACTTTGTCAAAAATCAAGTTTTAAAAACGGTTAACTTGATGACGTCATCAAGGGGTGTTTATGACGTCAAATAATTTTTTTATACAATGTAAACTAAAGTGTAAACAATTATTTGCAAGACCTGTGGTCGGAAATGGCTTTATCTTTTATACTTTTGAATCTATGGACAATTAAATACAGGCTACAATTGACTGGCAAAGCGTCTATCCCTGAATATGTATGTATATATTATATATATATACATACATTTTACCAAAACCCATAATCATGGGTAGAGTGGACCGCTGCCAGTGTCTCTCTTTCCCAAACAAAAGGAAATGATATTAATTTGATTGACCGTTCTCAAATGCAAAATGATACCGAGAATAAAATCGGTCGCTCGCTTTTCCCATTCATTCACGGCTTACGAATTGTATAAATAAGTTTCGATTGATTACATCAATCAGATGCTGTAAAAATCTCTTTGGGTTGCGTTCGGGTCGATACCTAGTATTTCGGGGTAAGGGACAAGGGTGGTAGTTATTACTTATTGAACAAGCTGGAGTGTATTGAATCTTCATTGCCGAGTACAGCTGCCTTTGGGTAGTTCTTCTTAATCTATTACAATTGTAAATGAATGGGAAAAGCGAGCGACCGATTTCATTCTCGGTATCATTTTGCATTTGAGAACGGTCAATCAAATTAATATCATTTCCTTTTGTTTGGGAAAGAGAGACACTGGCAGCGGTCCACTCTACCCATGATTATGGGTTTTGGTAAAATTTACTTGAAAATACTGAACACAGAACACGGCACAGAAGAGTAATCAGTAATGTTATCTGAATTTTATAATCGCTACCTACAATACAAGTGAATTAGTAGATAGCTCCATGAGGATCGAGGCTTATTTTGCTTATAAGCATTAAGACAATAGTGTTTAGGCGTCGTGAACAGTATTTAACAGGAGATATACTCAATCTACTGCAGACTCAATAGCTCTCTTCAAAACGTGTCACTCCTCCAAATGAATAGTTCTCAATGTCAGCTTATATGAACGAATATTAATAATCATTGAGAAAGAATGATGTTTAAGATCATCAGTTGAGTTTCACTAAATTATCATCCAAGCTTGTAAAGGTCTGAGGAGGTAATAACCTGTGTTGATCTGCTATTACCTGGGGACCTCAGGCTATCATGTTCATAAATTCACATAGCCATGTGTATACGCGTACTGTGTGACGCGCTACTGCGTGACGCGCTACTGCAAGCGAGAGGGCTCTGGTTAGAGCAATTCATAAACATAGAAAATAGAGATTCGGCGGAATGACAGGCTGAGCGCGGCCCAGTAAGATCTGCTAATAATGGCTAAAAGCAAAGAGCTGACATTGAGGACCATTCATCTGGAGGAGTGATACTTTTTGAATAGAGCTCTTAAGTCTGCAGTAGAGGAGGTATTTACTATTTAGCTCCCATGGAAGAAATAGTCCAGAAGAGGAGCGTTTGGACTGGTGAGTTAAATACAGAGGCATTCTAGATTTAAAAACTTTTCTGCGCCAAAAATATGTCAAATATTAGAACATAAGATGGATGGTTATGAAATAAATGATAAAGGGTCGGGCAAAGGATGACAATCTTATGCGTTAACAGAAAACAAAATAATGTGGGTACAGAGATAAAGAGATCTGCAAATGAAAAAATAAAACAAAGTCTGACGTTCAAAACGAAATGATCAGTATTTATACTTATAGTCTCCAGCCCGCTGCCTTAATAGCACACAAATAATTTAGATCTGCTGTGTGCTGGGTGTTTCCTCGTTGGAGCCAGCCATGAGGTGATCATGATCGTGAGATGATAGCCTGGAATAGTAGAGGCTCTTACGGGCATTGTCTGCTCGATACGTTAGGGACCCCAGATACACCTTACTAGACGTATTTTTGACCGTAGAATCGATTGAAAGTGGTTTCAAGATGATTGGACTGATTGTTCTGGGGTAAAATCGCAAAAAACCGATTTTTGGGCCAAAAATAGGCCAAAAAACCATGTTTTTTGATATTTTGAGCAAGTTAATTTTGTTGGCATGTCGGCAAAACTTGCATAAAGATAGCTAAAAGACAGCCGCACAAGATTGTATAAAAATAAAACAAATCCCTCTATTTGTTCTGAGGTAAAAATCCAAAAAAGTGGTAAAAATTTTGACTTTTTTGCTTTAAGTTTGAATAATTTTTTGCAGTTGTATTAAATCAACCCAAAAATAGTCACATCGTGTTTGCCTAAATTTTTCCTTTCCGAGAAGTACCCACTTC